ATTAATTAAGATAAATAAAATAAATTAGCAAAATATTAATTGATTTGAAATTATATTTTTTTGCTGACATGACACTGACCTGGCGCATTGACCTTTAGTCAACGGTGTTGACCGTCTAAATTGACGGTCAACCAACGCGTCAGGCCAAAATTGTATAAATGGTGTATAATCTGGGCTAGGATTAGAGTTTCAATAAAGTTTGACCCAAAGTGGTAATTTTGTGAAAAGTTCGGGTCCAAATAAGGTTTTAACACTAAAATCAAATAAACAAAGAATCAACGAGCATAACCTTTTAAGTCTTCAATCCAATAATATCGCCTCTACTATTTTGCTACAAGTCTACAACTCTCCCAAAAAAACCCAAAGTTACCATTTATACAAATAAAGTTATCATTCCTCATACTCATATGAGTATGAACTGACACAAATAGATTGTAGTTGTACCATTAATCAAGCATTCCATTTGTTCAACCGGCGCGGCCTTATAAACAGAATTGACAACCTTGGTAACCTGGCGAAAGAAGATTGATGTGTGGTGAACAATTAGGTGGCGCAACATGATTGGCTGGAAACAAAAACGAAAAGAAATCTGAAGGACAAAATGTTAGACCGGCAAAGAAAAACATAAATCGGGTTCGTATTCCATTAATTTTTTTTGCAAGATCGATCGAACAACCGTCCCATCAGAGAGCCAGAACCCGCACCGGCGGGGGCACCAATAAAAAGCGCAGAAGCTCTTCCTCCCCGCCATTCCCGCACCCTGAGCAGAGCTCTGCTCGCCGCAACCGAACTGAGATTTGCATCGGCCATCGCCGGAATCTTCGGCAGAAACCTACCTACGGTATTTTACCTCCTTCCGCATTCCTGGATCCTGTCGAGAGCGGAGGCAGCAGCATCAGTAGTAGCAGGAGGAGGTAGGAGGAAGGAAAGATGAATATATTCAGATTAGCAGGTGACATGACTCACCTCGCCAGCGTTCTCGTCCTGCTGCTCAAGATCCACACCATTAAGTCATGTGCAGGTACGTTTGCTTCTTTCTCACCTCTGTAATATTCCGACGTTTTGGAGCGTCTCGCGAGATGGAGGTCTGCAATTTGCTGCACGAAATAGGAGTTAAGAGGTATCTTGCGGGTTTATACGTTAGAATTCAGAAATGTGGGAGGAGATCTGGACTGGAATGATTGAATGTTCGGTTTATTTGGCTAGATATTGCACATTTGCTGTCAGAGTTTATACTACGATCGTTTGTTGTTCGATGAAATTGGGTTGAATGGATTTACAACTTCCCTGGCCTTGCTTGGTTCTTAGGCGTCCTTGTTATAACTCCTGCTGGTGCTGGATTGGTTTATTGAGAAATATGGTGATGTACCAGTTTAGATCTATTACAGAGGAGGGTGTGTGAATGATTTGCATTCTATTTTCCAGTTCCATAGCCTCTCTGTTGTTCCTACTCTCAAGCAGCTGAGTTACAGTGATGTTTGCTTTCAGTGTAGAATTTTTCCAACCTTGGTTGGACTGAGTTCTTGGACAAATGAGACTATGTTTAGGATGATTGATAATGGTTGAATTGCCAATGATACGTTTGACACTCAAAGACAAGTTGCGGTGATCGCCTAGATAGTAGGTTTAAACTGCTAGGTCTATCTTTTCCATTAATCTAACTAGGATGCTGTTCATATTGAATATGTACTTCTCATTTGTGACCTGCTCTTTATTGTATGCAGGTGTCTCTTTAAAGACCCAGGAACTTTATGCACTTGTCTTTATCACTCGCTATTTGGACATATTTACCTCTTTTGTATCCATCTATAATACCATCATGAAGTTAATATTCTTAGGAAGCACATTCTCAATTATATGGTACATGAAACGCCACAAGCTTGTCCGAAGATCTTATGATAAGGATCAAGATACCTTCCGCCACTGGTTCCTCGTACTGCCTTGTCTGATCCTGGCCCTTCTTATTCACGAGAAATTTTCATTTCTGGAGGTTAGTTAGCACATTGTTTTACATTTCTCTTTTCCTGTGATCATCTGTTCATTCTATGCAATAAAGCTTTCAACTCCGTTTACGTTTCTCTTTGGGATTGTGTTAGCTAGAATATAGCCTGTTTCTTTCTTACATGCTTTCTGTGTTGTACAGGTGATGTGGACTTTTTCCATATTCCTAGAAGCAGTTGTCATACTTCCTCAACTTGTACTGTTACAGCGGACCAGAAATATTGACAATTTGACAGGTCAATATGTGTTTCTTCTGGGGTAAGATCTTGTTTCTCCTGTACCTTTGTTGCCTAAGAAGTCCGAATTCCCTGAAAAATTGTGTCGGATTAGTTATTCTCATTTCTTAAGGTCAGATACAGAGAAACTGTACTTTATGAAATCTAAATACTCAATTGCTGTTTTGAATGCAGTGCTTACCGGGCCCTTTATATACTCAACTGGATCTATCGTTACTTCACAGAGCCGAACTATGTTCACTGGATAAGTATGGGCTGCTCTATTTATCTCCTCTTTATTTTTTTCTCCTCTCCCAGCTCCCTGTGGACATGCATTGGATTTTCTTTTACTACCTGAACTACCCAACCTCTTCTTCCATTGTCCTCTCTATTGCTAAATTTGATGGACTGCGTAACTTTTGATAGATTCTATTTCCCTGCACACAGTCACATCGAATTAGACAAGGGATGGTTGGGATATTCTCTCGTTTTAGCTTATTTGGAACTTGTCACTAGAGGAAAAGCTCAAGGGGAAGGGTTGCTTTGTCTACACCATTCTGTGCTTACATTACATTCTAGAAATCACGTTTCTGAGTGATGGCTAAAACACTATGGAGCTGGATGCTGGTTATTCATGAGCTTTCATTTGATATATTTTCAAAAGTACAGCTTCATAGGATGTAGGGATGGCAAAAATATCCGTAACCGTGGATATCCCGCCGAACCCAGTCTAATTGGGTAGGGTAAAACCCGAATCCGAAGGACATTTAGTGGATACGGGTAAAACCCGAACCCGGCTATTGCGGGTAATGGGTGGACATGAGTTTCTCACTATCCAACCCGAAACAGCCCGATTATACACATACATATGTATTTTGTCTAGAAATAATCATTATTTTTCTCTAACATATTTTATATTTGGTATATAAATATAATATTTTCATGAAATTGTGTTGTTTTAACTAGTTTTCTTCATTTTAGTGAATTGTTGTTATACTTTTCCTCTTACGTAATGTGAGAATACGTGGGAATGTTAACATATTGGTTGGAGTTATGAAGAGAAATCATTACCCATGAATAACCGTGGATACTCGAAATTCGAACGGGTATGTGCATGGTTTTAATTTTCTACCCGTTTCATATGTGGATATGGGTATGGGTAAAATCCGAACTACTTTGAGTAGGGTAATGGATATGCACTACCCGACCCGACCCATTGCCATCCTAATAGGATGTGACCATCCAAGCTCTTCAGTAAGGAAAAACCTTGGGTAATTAGTTATGTAGACATATATGTAGTAGAACTGGCTAAAGTGCCTCATAACCAAGTAGGAGCTTCACTATGCGTGATCTTCACTAGTACTAACCCCATAGTTCTGAGCCCTTATTCTTTGAAACTGCCTTATTGTCTACCGTCTGTGAATTTTTTTTTTGGTATGATACTAACATGAATGATTGCCTATTGCAATCTGTTCCGCAGCTTGGATTTCAGGGCTCGGGCAAACGCTGCTTTATGCCGACTTCTTCTACTATTACTTTGAGAGGTAAGTAGGTGTCTATGGATTAGTAATTCCACTGTTATCACAATTTTCTCGACTGTCTGCCCCTTCATTTGACGGAAAACACCTGCCAAATTGCCATGCAGTTGGAAAAACAACAAGAAGCTCCAGTTACCGGCATGAGTGATTTCTTATGGTAGCTGGAGATTTGCTGGCGCGTGGGGACGGATTCAGTTTGGGAGCTGTCAATTTTTGTTGCTGTTTATGAACTTCTGTCCTTTTTACTGTATGATGATGGTTTAGCCACTTTAGCAGTTCTATACTATACTAGAGACATGCCTTCAAAGAGATGCCGACTCCGAACGTACACTCGATACTCCATTTGTGTACGTTTGGGACCCGGTTTTGTTTGTGACATCTTCAAGGAAAGGTTGATGCACAGCTCAATTGGTCTGGAGTTATATTTTAGTTTAACTACAAGCTGACCATTCTAGGGCGACAGAACTTTGATGCCACTGGAAAGGTTTCAATCCTTCTCTCGCACTAACAAGAAGAGCGGACGAAAGGAATTTTTGGGAGAGACAACATAGTTTTCTTGAGACTGACCTTTGTTTCTGGATGGGGTTTCTCCTGGAAAATCATCAATACCCACTTCTTTTAACAATTTTTATTACACCACCTCTACTTTTAAAGCATTATTGCTTCAAATACAAGGATATCCCGTTATTCCATCAAATATTATACCTTAGACCGGAAATTCGGGTTCAAATACCCACGGATTTGCTGTTTGTTTACTGGCTTCATATAATTTAGAAAACACAAGTTTTCTTGAAGCCTCTTGCTCATATCTCTCATCAAACGGTGTTATGCGATAATGTATATCTAGCAGACCTCTTGCTATCCCAAGGGAGCATTCAAATATCTGTCCTACATTCATTTGTGAAGGCACCCCTAACGGATTGAAGACCATATCAACTGGTCTTATCTTGCAAATAAGACATATCTTGTCTAGGCAAGTTATTATTGTACCATAATGTTTTAGGTATACATTTTTAAGGTGTATCATAAGAAAATTTGAACATTTATGTTATAGTACAATTTCAAGTTGTATCATAACATAACGACACAATTTTAGTTTGTATTATAAAAAGATTTATACGAAAGAGTATAGGTACAATCTCAGATTTGTATCAACATCGCATAGTTCTCTCGTCTAGCGAGAGTATCATGTAAAACTTCTCTAGGTTTTCTTGGTGCTAGTTGGTTTTCCTAGCTCGAGAGGTCTATGACTGGATTAGGGATGGCAGGCCGGGGCTCGTTAACGGATACCCGCCCGAGAAGGGCCCAACTGGGCTGGCATCAGAGGCCCGTCAAAAGGTGGCGGGGAACCTGGAATCCGTCAACCTTGGATTTTGGGTGGGGCTGGATCGTCGACTATCCGCCCCGAAACCCGCCCGGCGGATTACCCGTGCACCAGAACGACGTCGTTTCGACGAGCATCCAGACAGAGTCTAGGTCTCAAGGGTAATGATCTTGAACTCGTCGACATTTTCTGGTTTACTGGTGTTAATACAGACATGCATGCTCGCCATCCTGTTCTAACTTTGTTTTTGTTCGTTGTTCACTCTTTTTTTCCCAGGTTGGACTCGTTTGAATCGGTATTGAAGGACTGAACTCTAAAGAGTATATGAGCGAGTGATAGTGATCATCAGTGATTAGTCTACTGTCATTGGGTACTCGACAGTCCTCAGAAAAACTCAAAGACAAGGTAATACTGTTCTCCTCTCCTAAGTACTAACCAGTAGGCAGTAACCATTGTGTTGGTTGTGTTGTGAGACTTGTTTTGACTATGGCTTGCTTGCTAATGATAAGAAGTTAGTTAGAAGACGTAAACTATAATGGTGAAATTGTTGAAAATGGAGGTCTTGTTTGCCGGTTAGAAGAAGTCTTGTCCATTTAAGTAAGGAAAAAAATGTAAAATGAAGGTATAATCAGTGATATATAACTTGATTATATTCAGATGGAAGGGGCTACTGCTAATTCTATGAATGTTGATCAACATGTCTCTGAAAATGATGTCCAAATCCAACCTGAACAACCTGCTCCTGTTCCAAACAATCGGGTTAGTGGTAATGAGGAAGAAATGGAAGCACAACGTAAGTTAACCTCTAATGTTTGGCCTCACTTCCACAGAGTTAGGATTAATGGGGTAATGAAAGCTAGGTGTAAATATTGTCATAAACCCCTTGGTGGGGAAACAAGTAATGGAACTTCACTCCTGAGAAACCATTTTCAAAACATGTATCCAGAAGACGATATATGATGGTTCTCAAAAAATACTTTGCCCCAACTATCAACCTGCTAGAAATCCTCAACTTTTTGCTTCTCAATACAATTATGAGGTTTCTAGGAAGGAACTTTGTTCGGTGATTCTGGTCCATGAGTACCCCCTTAGCCTTGTTGATCATGTGGGTTTCAAACGTTTTTTATGTTCTCTTCAACCTCAATTTGTTGTCCCAAGTAGAAACACTATGAAAAAAAATATTCTGGGTCTGTATGGGGTTGAAAGGTCTAAATATCAGACCATGATTGATGGTAAGTTGGGGAGGGATTCAGTGACTACTGATTTGTGGACTGCCACAAATCATAAAATGGGGTATATGGTAGTAACTGACCACTTTATTGACAACTCTTGGAAGCTCTATAACATAATGTTGAGGTTTATGTATGTTCCAGCCCCTCACACTAGTCAAAGACTAGCTGATAGGTTGTTTGATTCTCTTCTGGATTGGAACATTGATGGTAAGTTGTCCTCAATCCCACTGGACAACTATACCACCAATGATTCAATGATATTTCATATGAGAAATAAGCTTGTGAGCGGTGATCTGTTGCTTAATGGTAAATTGGTTCATATGAGGTGTTCAGCTCATATTCTGAACTTGATTGTGAGGGATGGTTTGGATGAAATCAAGGATGCTATACATTTGATTAGGGAGAGTGTAGTTTACTGGAATTCTATACCTAAGAGCGTTCAAAACCTTCTTCGAATTTGTTAAGCAACTAAAGTTGACCTTTGAGAAAAGAACTGGTACTTTATTGTCCAACTAGATGGAATTCCACATACCATATGCTCTCTGTTGCTCTTCAATATAAGGATGTTTTCTTTCGTTTGAGCTTGAGGGACAATCAATACACATATGTTCCTAGTTCTCACTGGGAATTTGCATATGTTGTGATTGATAAGCTGAAAATTTTCTTTGAGATAACTGAGTTATTCTCTGGTTCCAAGTATCCGACTGCCAATCTTTTCTTCCCAAAGAATTGTGTCTTGAGACTAAAACTGAATGAGTGGGGTCTTGATCCCAACCCTGTGATTTTTGGAATGACAAGTCAAATGTCTAAGAAGTTTAATAAGTACTAGGATGATATCCACCTTGTACTTGCTGTCTCGGTTGTTTTGGATCATAGATATAAGCTCCATGTGATTGAATACTATGCTGGAATGTTTGGGAATACGGAAACTGATTTGGTTGCTGAGAATATCAAGAATATTATATATGGTTTGATTTTTGATTATCAAACCAAAGCCGAGAAGAAGTCTGGTTCTGAAATTGGAACTTCTTCTACTAGTTCTAGATCTGTCTCGGCTACTGATCTTGATTTTGAGCTCTTTGTAAGTCAAACATTGGATATCTCATCTTCATGAAATTTGCAATTATTGTGATCCCGCAGTAGGAGCCACAAATTGCCTTAAAATGTTGGAGCTTGTTTTATGAGGAGTCGAGAACAACACAGAGCCAATATGGAGAACATAAGGTTTTCACCCAAGGCGAATCAATCTTTCTCAATTCTTGGACGTAAGAGCTAGCTAACCCAATAATAATGTCAATATCCTTAATAGTTTTGTCAAGCTTGCAGAAGAAGCACTCTGTGCCAGCCTTTTCCAACCAAATTCCTGTAGGTAATTAGATGTTCAGACTCACTTCCCTAATTAAAAATCTCACCTTCAATTGAATCTTGAGCATCTACATATTTCTCCAAAATATTTCATAGTAAGATTAGCATTGGTTTATTTATATTTGTTGAAAGGATAGAACTATTATCAAAGGCTAGGTTGTACTCTTTTTCAATGGGTATTCTATGTTAGCGAATTATGCATAATGTAAAGTTAAAAACCTTACTATGTCATGAAGGATTTCTCGATCTTGATTTAGAACAAATCAAGAGATTCATGAATGGAAAAGATCAAAGTAAGTACAAATCAAGAGAGTCATGAATCTGCTATAGCATTTTTCTCGGCCTATCGAGCCATTTCATTCAACCTTTCTCTACAAAAACTTTGCCCTTAAGGCTGTCTAGATTTCACTCGGCTCCTCTCTTTCCAACTTATTCCTCCGTGGTTTATTTTGCAGGGGACCAACTCTGATATCCAGATTATACATTGCACTTTTTGGCACAGTAGCATTGATACAATTTACCTTTAGATGCCCTAGACGTCCACTTGAAACAAAAAAGAGGCAATTTCACATACTTTACTTCAAAAGTTTCAATTTTTCCTTTCAGTAGCAACGTGATCTAATGTGTGGTATTAATATCCTTCTCCATCCGCAGCCCGAAGAAGTCATCCTAGATACAATCACTATTACTGTCCATCCATACGAGTTTCCCTAGTTTGTCATGCATCAATCTTAATTGCCAACTCTTGTGTATGTAAAGCTGCTGGTAATAAACATATCCTTACACCTATCTATATCCATCTTGTTAAACTCTTCCTTCTTTGGCTTGCAGAAAATATCAACTTTCTGGAAAATAATAAGGTTGTCATCAAAATGCCATGGGCCCTCGAATAGGACCTTGTCTGTCAATATGCTCTAGAAATGGAAAAACATGCATTTGATCTTGGCAAAATTCATCTGTGTAGCCAAAACTTTCACGTATGTGACAATAATAGCCATTTTTGGCGAAATACCAAAAATAAGCAAAAATTTTGAAAGTTACATGACAAATATAGCCATTTCTGTTACATATTTTAACGGCGTCAGTGACACAGTTAGTTAAATTAACAGAACGCTTACCTGACTGCCAACTCACCGACACATCATTGACAACTAACCAACACTTGTCACATGAATTCCATGTCATATTTTATTTTAAAAATAAATAAAAAATTGATTTTTAGCAAAATATATTTTTTTAATTCTTATCTTCTCCCCCACACTTCATCTTCTCCAAGAGGATATTACAAAAAAAAAAACTTCTCCAAGAGGAGATTGACGGATCCCCTGCTATGGTTTCCCCCGACTTCCCCCAACTCTAATATCTCCCACAATTGGATCTCCTAGCTTTAGGTTCTACCCCCAGCCTCTTCACTTCCCCTTCGCCAGCAGCGGAAATCCTCCCCCACCTCACCACAACCATCGCCGCCATCACGATCCCCAACTCTGTGCCGCTCCGTCGCCGTTTCTCTATTCACAACCGGAGAAGAAGACAAAGGAGGAGGAGGAGGCGGACGATGAGAGTTCAGCTCCATCCTCATCCACGAGCTTTCTTTAATCCGGCTTGAACCCTACCGACTCCGATATATTGTGGCGCCATCAATTGATTCTTGAAACTTCCCCTACTTCGGAGCCATCGGAGATCAATATTTGGTCTCCGGATCTGTTGCGCCACTACGACAGAGAGAGATCTCGTCATTCACAGTAGATCTACCTTCCTTTTTCTCCACTCACCGCAGATCTACCTTCTTTTTTCTCCACTTTTCCAAATCCACCGGAAAAGCAATCCCGCAGCCGCACTCGCTACCCTCTGGAAGATTCAACCGATACAAGAGAGGAACCAAGTTCTGGCGGTGGGGTTCCCAGATGACGCCCGAACAACTATTGGTGTTGTCGATATCGGCGTTGATGCGACCCGAACCTGGCCCAACACTTGATGGCGGAGCCTAAGGAGATCATTTCATAATCAATGGTTGTTAAACAGTCGGCGGCCTTGTGAGCTTTGAGGAGGAGTGCCTAGGTTACCCCTTGCTTGGCATTTTTGTTGTGAGATTCGTCTCGGTTACACCTTGGAAGACTCTACAGTGATGGCGGTGGTGGTGAGAGAGGGACAAGCTCTAATGGAAGGTTTCAAAATGGTGGTGGTGGTATGGACGACGGAAGATGGGTAGGGATTGATTTGGAGGGTTTCAGAACTTTGATTGTTTTTTTTTTGTTTGGGTTATGGAGGGTTTCAATTGTGGTGATTGCAGAAGAGGAAGCTTCTAGGAGCTTTAGGGAAGTATTGATGAAGGGGAGGTGAGTAGGCGGTGGAGACTGGAGAGAAAAGATTTGTTTTTATTGTTTTTATTTAATTTGATTAAAATAAAAAGATAAAAATTTGATTATTTTTCACTTAATATTATTTTTGAATAAAATATGCCACGTCAACCGTTGTTGTTAGTCCAGTCAGCACGTTAACTAACACCGTCAAACAATTGGACGGAAGTGGCTATTTTTGGTATTTCACCAAACGTGGCTATATTTGGCCAAACCGTCAAAGTTTTGGCTACACAAGTGTATTTTGCCTTTGATCTTATAGGTCAGTAATTTGGAAACTCTGTTTCAGACTCCAACCTTTTGTGAGGGCGATTTTTGTTGATTTCATGTTTGGTATTTGCAGTAACGAGGCACCCTATCAGTCCAAACCAATAGCACGAATGATACGGGTGCGCATCAAGTTTTACATTTATAAACTCGATCGTCGATATTACTAGCTACCCTAATCTAGGACAAGTGCACCCTAGAGCGGCAAAGTAGTGTAGTGGTGACCGAGGCCGTATTCCTAGGGTCATGGCATCCTAGTCTACTCTTGGCTCGGTTGTTATCTAGTCAACCTGATACTTAGTAGGTGTACAGTTGAAGATATGGACCTAGAGATCGATAAAGGAGAAGAGGTACTCGGGGTTTCTCCCTCGCCCTAAGCTTAAGTTCATCATGCAAATGGCTAATTGTTTAGGTTTATAGGATAGGAAGGGAAACTCTCTAATCTGGGGATTTCAACGATTACTCTCCCTCCTCCTAACATGACCCACAAAGACCCAATGTCACCTCAGTCTAAGTTTATGTGCTAGGGTTTCTCCCATAGTTCCTCTCAAGAGGTTTAACCTATCATGCATAATAGAGATGTGCTTCGATCAGAACGTGTGTGACTTCTCTAGCATTATTTTTAGGAACGCATTCATAAAGCAAAGGTCTGGTCCCACGTCCACTAAGGAACACTAAGATCATTCATCTATCCTTAATCTGCCAGTTGGCGCTACGTAGTCTAACCCTAAAATTCCCGCCTAGTGTTAACTTAGTTGTAGACTAGTAGGAAAGAGTTAGGCAACTTGCCCAAGCATAAATGAAGCATATATTCATTAAAACAAATATATCCATTCACAAACCCTAACAAAATTACATCAACATTCAAAACCTAAATTTAGGGTTTGGGGGACAAAGCCCCAAAGTACCTTGAGAGATTACCCCATGAAGAAGGGAAGAAGAGACATGCAAAGAGGGAAAGAAAGCACGAGGAAAGAGTCATCAATTTTTGGAAATCCTCCTACTAAACTCTTCTCTACTTCTTCTCATCCTCTTCTTCTCCTAGCTTTTACTTCTCTCTATAACCTCACTTTAGAATAAAAAATCTGCCAAAAGCTATCTATTCAATGGGAGGAGTCCCCTATTTATAGAATTCTACAAACACGGACTATTTTGATTTTTGGGGAGAGGCTGCGATCTTGAGGGTTATAGAATTTTGAGAACGCGGTCAAGCTCACTGTTACAAGGTAGACGATCTGGGCCGCGATCTTTGGGGGAGAGGCTGCGATCTTGAGGTTGACCGTTTACGCTTTGCTGAAGGTAGGGTTCGCGGTCGTGATCCGGGATGTCACGACTACTATCTTTATCGTGGGCACAAGTGAAGAGAATTGCGAGTCGATCGTCTAAACTCTCAACTCCTCCCTTGGTGGCTACTCTTGAAGTTCGCGGCTTTGGCTCCAGAGTTCGTGGCCATGATCTTATCACTAGAGGCTGCTATTTCATGCTCTAGTTCACGGCCTCACTTCATGGCCCTAGTCTTGGTACTGAAGGCTGCGATCTTGGCTCCTTCAGCCGTGATCTCCCATTTTCCCCCCTTTTCTAGAGGTGTCAATCGGGCCGGTTCGGGTTGGGTTCAATAGGGTGGAGGGAAAGTCAGATTTCGGTTTCATCGGGTTGCAGGTTAGTCGAGTTTGGGTTTATCGGTTTCGGGTTTGGGTTCAATTGGGTTGTAGGTTAGTCGGGTTGCGGGTTCGAATTCAATCGGGTTGCGGGCAAATTGGGTTGTGGGTTCATCAGGTTTTGGGTGGGGCGGGTTGTGGGCGTATCGATTGCGGGTTGTATGGGTCAGTGCATCAAGAATTGGACTACCTTTTGGAGCGGAAGGAAGAAGTTTGGCGGCAATATTTATCAAGCAAAAAAAAAAGGGGGGAATTTTTCAACGAGAAGGGAAATTGATTAACAATAAAAAGACATGAATTATATATATATAATGAATTACATGCTGGATTCTCTTTTTTTCTTATTGTAGGATACATGCTTGATTCTCTTATGTGTGAAGTATAAACATTTGTTTAACAAAAAATATATATATATATGAATTGTTGTCAATCAATAATCCATATTATAAGAAACATATCTTCTCCCGTTGTGCTATAAAGGTTGACCTTGCGAAAACATTTGATTCGGTTAATTGGATGTATTTGTTTATGATGATTGAGATAATGGGATTTCCAGTTTTCTTTACTAATTGGATTAAACTGTGTGTCAAGACTGCTAAATTCAGTATTAGCATTAATGGTGGGCTTTGTGGTTACTTTGGGGATAAAATGGGGGTTAGGTCACCCTGCCTCTTTATCATTGCCATGGAAGGGCTTTCTTTTCTGTTGAATGACTATGCAGCTGCCGGTGTGTTACCATTTCATTCACAGTGCAAGAGAGTGCAGCTTACTCACCTGAGCTTCGCGGATGATCTACTTATCTTTACAAAAGGATCAGGCATATGTATTTCTAAAGTACATGATATTCTTTCTGAAGTCTATCTACTTTCTGGTCTCAAATGCAATCCAGCTAAGTGTGAAGTTTATTTTGGTGATCTGTCCGTCGCGTTCAAGGGTAATACTCTACAGATTTCAGGGTTTTAGGAGCGAGAGCTTCTTGTAAGGTAATTAGGGTTTCCCTTGATTTTGGGTAAGCTGTCTTCTGTTAAATGTGAGAAGCTTGTGGCGAAGATTACTCAGAAGTTACAATCATGGAGGGCAAAACGTCTTAGTTATGCAGGTCGTCTTCAACTGATCACTTCTGTATTAATGGGTGTTTTTCAGTTCTGGATGCAAGTTTTTCTGCTCCCAAAAAAAGTGCTGAAGCATATTCAACATATCTGTTCTCATTTTTTGTGGCATGGTGGAAAGGAAGGCAGGGCAAAAACTGAATTGGATAGAATGGCTTGTTCTAGGAAAGAGGGAGGTTAGGGACCGAAGGAATTATGCTCCTGGAACCAGGCTTGCACTGCTCGAATGATGTGGCTTATTCTGATGCAAAGTGGTATAATCTGGGTGGCTTGGATAAGGATGAACAGGATCAAACAATGTAGCATCTGGACTGTGAAACCCAGCTCATGGGCTTGGTGAAGAATTCTGAAAACACGATCTCTTCTCTAGCCTCACTTTAGTTTGCAGGGAAGGGAGGTTCCATGGGACAATCTTCCTATGCCTCGATTCTTGATTGTTGCGGTTTGGACCAAGAGGGGATTTCCACTCTCTAGGTTAATTTCACCCAATATTGAGTTAAAGCTAGCACACTCAATCATTCATGAATAATACCTCAAATATTATATAAAAATCTCAATCAACACAAAAGCTTCATGTTCTTACATCCTAACATATAGAGAGACTAGGATTCACAATACCCAAGTGAGTAGGTAGGCTATTCCATAGCTAAACAAGAGAAAACAACAAAAAGGAGAGAAATAACCATGAAGTGATGTCAATCTTTCCTCCTTGTTGCTTGAGACACCCTTGAGATGAAGATCAATCCTCTAGCTAGGAACAAGCCCAAAGCTCCTTCTTCCTCCTTTGATTTGCACTTTCTCACTCTAGAAGAAACCCTAACCCCTCACTAGAATCCTCTTTATTCTGAAAAATGAAAACCTAACCTAAAGTGAAGCTCTCTCTTCTTCTTCCTTTCAGCTCACATTTTATACCAGGATCGGGCTCAGTTCATGGCCGTGAACTCTTCAACGCGTCCGTGAACACAGAGCATTGTGTCGAAACACACCGCTTCACTTGCATGAGTTCACAGTTTGCACTCAATGTTCACGGTCTTGTTGACCGTGAACTCGCCTTGGGCTAGTAACTACAGATTTCTCCCTGGACGCCTCACGGTTCACGGTTTATGGCTTCAGTTCACAGCCTTAGTAGACCGTGAACTCCAATGGGAAACCGTTTTGCGCTTTTTGAACTCCAATTTTCCCAAAATTAGGCCTTGACCCTTCCACACGTGCTAGACCTGAAATGTATCAAAACAAGCACAACCTAGCGTGAAATATGTCGAGGAGCGATGAAATGAAAAGTCAAACTATCAAGAAATGAGGGGCAAAATGTGTACATTTGGACCCGAATCAGGGGACAACAAGTTGGTCCTGGATTTGAAGGAATTGAAGGAGAATCAACATCGAGGTGCTAATCAGCTTCAAAACCAAAATGAGGAAGCGGGAGCCGTGGAAGAGCCAAGGACTATGGGCTATTACATGGCTCCACGGGCGGCGGATATACAATCTCCCATCTTACACCCACCCTTGGCCGCCAACAACTTTGAAATCAAGCCCTCTTTCGTGATGATGATTCAAAACAACGCCTTATTCCACGGGCTTGCCAATGAATCACCACGAGAGCATGTTCAAAGGTTTCTTGAGGTTGTGGGAAGCTTGAAGATAAAGGTGTTCCCGAGTAGGCATTGCAACTGAGGATATTCCCTATTCTTTGGCGGGGAAGGCCATTTGATGGCTCAACAACCAAAAGGCTCGATCCATCACCTCTTGGGATGATTTACTCAACAAGTTCATGACCCGATATTGTCCTCCTTCCAAGACGTCCCAGTGGAGGAAGAATATCACTCACTTTGAGGAAGAGGAAAATGAGACTTTGAGGGATGCATAGGAAACATTCTCCGACTACTTCCTTCAATGCCCTCATCATGGATTCGAGGAGCAATCTCGGATAGAGACTTTCTATGGAGGTCTCATTCAAGATGATAAGATTCTCATCGACTCTCTTTGCGGTGATGTCTTGCGGTTGGTGTTCGAGCACTAATCATGAAATTGCGGATTGCCAAGTCATAAAGGAGACAAACACCCTCGAGGAGCAAGTGAGTTTCATTGCCAATGCTAGAGGGAACAACCCTTATAGCAACACCTACAACCCCGGGTGGCACAATCATCCAAACTTCGCTTGGTTTTCCCCTTCCAATCCAAGACCTCCCGGCTTCCAAGGTCTGACGGGCAACTATCAACCTCGACCGACTTTCATCCAACAAATGCCTCAATTCCAAAACTCAAACTTCCAACAACCATACCTATAACAAGATGGTCAAGGGTTTCAACAACAACAAGTTGATAAGTTCTCTAAACTTTAAGAGCTTGTGACCACCTTTGTGAGTACAAGCTCTCAGAAGTTCAAGAAGATTGAGCAATTCATGGAAGTGGCAACCTCCAAGTTTACCTCGGTTGAGGCGGGACTTTGAATTCATCAAGCAAGTCTCTAGAACTTGGAAGTGCAAATCGACAATCTTGTTGGGATCCTCACCGAGAGACCTAAGGGAGCCCTACCCTCTCAAACCATTACAAACCCCAAGGATCATGTCGAGGTTAATGAAATTCACTTGAGAAGTGGGAAGGTGACTCCGGAGGTCGTTGCCAAAGAAGTGAATGTGAAGGAAGACCCTCTACCCGAGGGTGGAGAAGAAGAAACCTCAAGAGAAAAGAGAGGAGTAGCGAGGAAGGCATCGCCAACGCCACCACCTATGGCTGAGTACACGCCACCCCTACCTTTTCCCAAGAGGGTGCACAAGGAAAGATTGGAAGCTGAATATGGAGGTCTCATAGAGATGCTCTGAAAGCTCCACCTCAACATTCCCTTCCTTGAAGCAATCGCCCACATGCCAAGGTATTCAAAATACCTCAAGGGGCTTCTCTCCAAGAAGCCAAAGTTCGAAGACCTAGCCAATGTCACTCTAGGAAAGGAGTTGTAACACCCTACCCCTATGCGTATTACCTAATCACATTGCTCATACAATTGCAGCGGAAATAATCTCGGGTGTTACATTAATTACAAAATTTACCCAATTAAAATTTCGACATATATTACTCGCGTAATGGGCTAACAGTTCTTGTAACTAAATCCTGCAAAATCATTTATCTGAATCCCTGCATCCATAGACATACACATATGCCCATAACCATATACATTGGCTTTCATAGCCATGGTCACAGTTTCATACTACATAACTGCATACCATACTGATACATGCTATAATCGTCACAACTTACATACTGATACGCATATTATCAACTTACCACACTTATGGATATCTCACACTACATCATAAGCTAGTATGGACATGAAAAACATTCTCAAAACATTTTTTTTTACAAAAGGGTGTGGATCACTGGCCAAAATCCCGAGTAGTAGTCCAAGCACAGAATAGTTGAAGACCATACCTCATCTTTCCTTCAACTCTTGGTCAGCTTCCACTTATACACCTATCTACTGCTGCTGATGTTGATGATCTGCTTACACATGGCATACGCAAAGAAAAGGATGAAGAGGGTCAGCTCATGGCTGCGTGAGACAATCATTGCATTGTGAGTTCATAACAAAGCATACCCCTACCATACATCTAGCAATCAAGCCAAAACACTAGGAACGGACCTCAGCTATCCTCGCGTTCCAATGGGCAAAAGACTCAACCACCTTGACTTATGCATATGCGTCTTATAATTTTTTACTTATAGGCGCCTGACTACTCCCATGCTAATAACTCTCCCGGGAAACATACTCCACATCTCGTCGGATGTAGTCATACATACCCCCACACCACTATGGGTGTAGTCATACCCTGACACCACTCTGGGTGTGGTCATATCTCGTAAGAAATCTTCAGTCACCACCACATGAGAGGTGTGACTATCATATATATCATAATAGAGTAATAACATAGGGAGCCCTAATTACTATGTAGTTGACCGTGAGACCACAACACTCATATTTGGTATCCTCATACATAATTCATATCTCATCTTGATTCATCATAATTCGTTACTTGCACATGTACTTGACCTGACCATAATTGGCTCAACATAGGTAAACCAGGAGTCGTATAGTTGCACTTCCTCGAGATAAACCCTCGTGCAAGTCATCCTCCTTAAAACATCATAATATCACCCTGGGAAGTTTATTTCCCCCACTTGTGAATCCAAATTCAACCACAATATCACATCATGTCGAAACAACTGATCGAACAACCATGAAGTCATATCAACAGTTAAGCCACAAATGGCAAAATGTATGCAATCATCAGCATAAACAAGGTCCATGTCGATTAGGGCAAGTCAATAATATCATACAGCAGTCCAGGGTTCAACATATAGCACACAAGTTCATACACCCCTAATCATGCCATTCTAGTTCACCTAGGTCAATTCTAAGCATCAATATAATTATCGTGATACGACAAACCCGGTATGTCGTGCTAATCCCTCACTAGTTCTGGTCGTTCAAACACCGGTTTAACCTTCCCGTACTAAAACGTCAATTTCACGAACGAATCACGAATTAAAATCCGAGACCGTCCTAATATCCCCTGCAGTATCCCCGTCAATATTAGTTCTAGGCTCCGGGTCAAATTCTTGATAAAAACACATCAAACCCTGGCCGGAGCTAAATTCAGCGATTTGGACCCCGACCTAAATAATTGCCGAAATTCAGGGATTAGAACTAGAGGATTGATTACCTCGCTGCAGGAAGCTCGTATATGACATTTGGGCTCAATCCTGCTTCCAGATACTCCGAAACCCTAATTTGGCTTATCGGGAATTCAAGAAATTCCTGAACCAAAAAAACTCGTTTTAAAGCTCTAACTCAATAAACTACGATGTATAGATGAATAAGGCATTACTTACTGGATTTTTGGATCACTAGGACTCAAGATTGGAGCTTTGGTAATTTCCCTCGTGCCTCCCCTGAACTGCTCCGCGCTCTCTGTTCCTCGGTCCCAGAAATGGAAAAGGAAGGGGAAATGGTTTCTGGTAAAGTAATGACACAGGGGAGGGATTTATATAGGTGGTCTGTGACCGCTTGTATATAGATAATATATTATATATATAATTATATGGCAAAGGCTAGCGTACGCCTGACATACGCTATACGCATGTGTTCACACTTATAAATTAATTTTTAATTAAATTAACTGTAAAATATAATTACAGCTACACCCACTAATAAATTTTTGTGTACGTTTTAATCACACAAATTTTTTCATCCTTCCAATTACGATTCAAACTCCCAAATTACTATTTTATTTATAACTTTCCATCCAATTTATTAAAAGAGTAACTAAACCTGTTAGTCAAATAATGAAATAATTATCCGCCATAGAAAATTTGTATCCACCTTTTGGCTGAATCATTTAACCCAACTTGGTGAAGCGACGAGCCTCCCACGACGCCCCCAGAATGCTGACTCAAATGCCTCCTCCATTAGCAGCGATGATTGCACGACCACGGAAGGATACCGGTGGGCTGCGACGGCACGCTGACGATTCCAACTCCGACGCGTCTCTTCTGATAATTCGAGAAGGCGACGTCTCTGTGTCTACGGCCCTCGATTCTTTCAGCTATAGTTATAACAACGGGAACGAGAACGTGGAACTTCACTACCACCATCACAATCACCGTGTCCTCGATGTCTCCATCTCCATGGACACGCCTTTTATTATGGCCTCCTAGTTCTTCGACAATGACGACCGCCCTAAATAAACTGGAACCATATGGAATGCAAATGTGCTCACATCATAATGGCGGTCGAATTCCTTCGCCAAATCGCCGATCAGCCGCCATATCTTTCCTCCCTTTCATTTCACTTGTCTTTATTGTTTAATAAGAAAACCTTATTTGATCAATCTGGTGAATATCTTCTCTTTTTATAAGATTGAGCTAATCTTCTCTTAGTATCATATCATATGCTTTTCAATCGACTCTACCTCCCTGCGCATTCACTTCACCTCCCCTGTTCTTGCAGAAAAACATGTATGGATCTGCAGCTCTCACTTAGTATCATATATCTTAGTCTTTGAGTTTCTACATATGAATTTCATGCTATACAAAGCTTTTTTCGTTGCAACAAGACATATATGGATCTGCAACTCACTTATTTCTAGTCTCTAGTCTTGCTCTGTTTTGTGTTAAAGTTCGGAGGGGAGTTCGACTAAGAGGTGAAAATGAGAAGGAAGAGCGATCGAAGCATCCGTCGTTTTTTGCGGTTCTAAAATCTACTAAGATTGAATTAATTACAGTTTTTAAGTTTGTGGGTTTATTTGCTCTTCAAGCTGTTTCTTGCCATCTAAATCTGTAGGGGAGGTTCCGAACTGAAAAATGGCAAGAGGGAAGGTTGTGTTGTTTTGTTTTTGTTTTAATTGCTTTGTGATATTGGGTTGGGCTGATTGCAAAGACAAATTGGGTTGTTGTTAAATTGGTTGACGCGTGGGACTAACTAGTATTGAAAAATAAATTAATGGGGTTGTGGTTGTAATTATAATTATTGATTTACTTATAATTAATTAGAAATAATTAATAGGTGTGAACATAGACGTATAGCGTACGCCAGGCGTACGCTAGCCTGAACCTTAATTATATATTATATATATATAATTAATACGTATACTTATCCGATCGATTGATAATCTGATTTTCGTTGAAATACTATCCAAACACTCGATTTGAATCACATAATTTTTCTAGCGACAGTAATACGATTTTAGCCAAAATGGGATGTTACAATTCTCCCCTCCTTAAAAGATTTCGTCCCCGAAATCTAACCTTGAGTTGTACCCTTAGTCCGCTTACTTACTCTTGACATGGTCTATCGTAGATAAACCATTACCTAACTCTTAGGTTAGGTGATTCATAGCATAGAAGGTAACACCTAACAGCTCAAGTTCCCAATATAAGGTTTCAAAAACCTATATCGAGTTATCACATCATAAGCACATCAACAATTTCAAAACATAACTTACTAAGCAAGATTGTTAACCTAGCCACCACAACATCAAGAATCATATCCATATTAAAAACTCTACCACAACAACTCGTCATGTTAGCATAGTCGAAGATCAAGTGTATTGCATTGCTAGCCACCATGCTTCTCGATCGGTTAGTAGTAACACTAAACGTACTTCTGTGCAAACTACAAGGAAACATTGGCCTTCTTTTGATCCACACACCAGTTGTGTCTAACCAAGTTATTCACTTAGTTGAAACAAAACTTTCTTCGAAATCATTACTTGGACAACAAGATAAAATTTCCACATATTTTCATAAATCTCTTAAACCATAAAATTTTCAAGATTCCTTCAAATACTCAAAATCATGTTTGACCATATACAACTGACTATGCAACACATCATCACCTTTGGTCCCAATCCTGAAAAGTTTAGTGCAAGTACAGGTATGGAGTACTCCCTCCCCTTTCGAGGGTGATAAGTCCTCCAGAGTGAAAGTAACATACCCATAATGCAGAAAACAAACCAGCTCTGATACCAAACTGTAACACCCTACCCTGTACGTATTACCTAATCATATTGTTCATACAATTGAAGTAGAAATAATCTCGGGTGTTACATTAATTACAAAATTTACCCAATTAAAATTTACGGGATTTTCGGATCACTAGGGCTCAAGATTGGAGATTTGGTAATTTCCCTCGTGCCTCCCCTGAACTGCTCCGCGCTCTCTGTTCCTCGGTCCTGGAAATGGAAAAGGAAGGGGAAATGGTTTCTGGTAAAGTAATGACACGGGGGAGGGATTTATATAGGTGATCTGTGACCGCTTGTATATATATATATATATATAAAATACACTATATATATAATTATATATAATATTATATATATATATATATAATTAATACGTATACTTATCCGATCGATTGATAATCTGATTTTCGTCGAAATACTATCCAAACACTCGATTTTAATCGCGTAATTTTTCTAGCGGCAGTAATAGGAATTTAGCCAAAACGGGTTGTTACAGGAGTGCTCCGCCTTCATCCTCAACAGGTTACCTGAAAAGCAGCCGTATCCAGGTAGTTTCACCATACCTCTTTGCATTGGTACTCATCGTATAGAAAATTCCTTGGCGGACTTAGGAGCAAGCATTAATGTGATGCCCTTCAAACTTTTTAAGATGCTAGACTGGGGCGAATTGAAGACTACTAGGCTTAGTGTCACATTGGCCGATCGGTCTGTCAATAGTCCTAGGAGCATTGTGGAGGACGTGCTAGTATGAGTGGGGAAATTCTGCTATCCGACGGATTTTGTGATCCTTGATATAAGTGAAGATTCGGAAATGCCACTCATACTAGGATGCCCCTTCCTTGCCACCGCCAAGGCTTTAGTTGATGTTAATGAGGGGACTTTGATTCTGAGAGATGACAAGGAGACATTTTTAATCTTGGAATTGAATCTAAGCGTAGAAGTGAGGATGTGAAGGAAGTGGAATCAAATGATATGAGTGCAAGTGGAGGAGAGCCTTTCAAGGTGAACCCACCTATTACTGTTATTCCTTGTAGTTATGTGAAGTAGGAAACCAGGGAGGGTATCACACCCAAAGAAAGAAGGAAGAGAGCTTGGAGAGAAATGATCAATTGCATTATTTCCCGGAAAAGGAAGAGGGCAACGCGAAAGTCATCGGTCAAGAAGGCCACTGTCACATGTGGCAGATGACATGGCGCCAACAAGGTGACAACATGGCGGCTGCACATGTGGCATGCATGGAAGACTAGTAGCATAGAGATGCTCCTAGGATTCTCCACCTAAATGAGAGCTTAATGGTGCACTTATGGGCTACATTATGGGTAGCATTATTAGAGTGCATTATGGGGGGACTTTATGGGGTGTATTGATGTAGAGGGACCATTATGAGGGGCATTGATGCCTTGTATGAGGAGAGGCCTATATAAGGAGCCATCTCTCTCACTTGTAACTCATTCCATCATTTTTTAGAGTAATACACACTAGAGAGTTCTCCCAATCCTTTGTCTTTGTTCTTGTTCTTTGCTTGCTTGTGAGTTTGAGAGAAAGGCTGCCTAGCGCTCTAACGGAATTGAGAGCTAGGGCCGCACGATCGAGAGTAAGGTCGTGGCCGGGAGCCTACCCCAACCGGGAGGCCAAAAGACAAGTCGAGCACTCGTGATCCTCTCAGATCTCTAGAGAGGCGAGTCTCGAGGATGGAGGTGAAGCTTTCTGAAGATATCACCGCCATCGAAGATTTGGGAGCTAACTTCGCCCAAGTCGAAAGCGATTTTCAAGGTATGAATACTCGTTTGTCGAGCTTGGAGATCAACCATGATGGCATACGAGAAGAGCTTGTGGCCCTCATCAACAACACCATCAACACATCCTTGAACAACGCCATTGAGCTGGTCGACGTGAAGGAGGAGATTGCAGATCTCAAGAGTGAGGTCACTCTCGTGAAGAGAGCCATGGCTAGGGGACCAGCCACGGTGCAATCCATCCCACGTGCTGATATTCCAAGACCGAAGAGCTTCGGAGGTTCAAGGAATGCAAGGGAGTTAGAGAACTTCCTTTGGAGTCTTGAGCAGTACTTCAAGGCGTCTGGCATCCAAGAGGATGAGGTAAAGATTCGTACCGCTCCACTTTACTTGGTTGATGTTGCCATGGTGTGGTGGAGGCGACGTGAAGCGGACGTCGAAAGAGGTACTTGTGTGATGGTAACGTGGGAAGATTTCAAGAGAGAAATCAAGAGGCAGTTCTACCCGGAGAACGTGGAGTTTGAAGCCCGTTCGAAGTTGAGAAGACTCACCCAGAGGGGTGGAGTTCGAGAATACGTGAAAGAATTCTCGAAGCTGCTTCTAGAGATCCCGGACATCACGGACAAGGAGGCCATGCACGGCTTTCTTGATGGGCTGCAACCATGGGCCAAGATGGAGATGCAACGTCGAGGAGTGCAAGACCTTGCAACTGCCATGGCCACGGCAGAGTCTTTTGTCGAGTACAAAAGGCAAGAGAGCAGCGGCAAAGAGAAGAGTTCTAAGCCCAACAAGGGTGGAGAACAGCAGAAGCCTTTCAAGGAGGGTTCTCGCACTCAACAACACCAAGGTGGTTCGAGCAAAGGGGGTAAGTACGAGCCAAAACCCATGACTTGTTTCCTTTGCGACGGACCACATCGAGTGCGAGATTGCCCAAGGAAGGCGAGATTGGCGGCCATTGAAGCTCAAGATGAGGAGCCCAAGGCGGCGGAGGCCAAGATTGGCTCAATCCGCAAGCTTGGCGCGGTGAAGACCGATGTCAAGGAGAGCAAGCGGGGGAGGTGCTATGTTCTGGCGCAATTCATGCAAGGCGAGTCAAAAGCTTTGGGGGATACCGGTGCCACGAACAACTTTCTTCGCATCGAGGAGGCAAACCGGCTGGGTATTGCCTACGAGAAGGGGCAAGGGAGGCTCAAGACGATCAACTCGGAGTCCATCCCGATCCATGGAGTTGCTCACAACGTACCAATGAATCTTGGCGAGTGGGAAGGCCTCATCGACTTTTCCGTCGTCACCATGGACGATCACCCAGTCATCCTCTGCATCAACTTCCTCGACAAGGAGGGAGTGCTCTTGAAGCCCAACTCCAACACAATGTGCTTGGAGAAGGAAGGGGAGTTTCATGCGGTCCATCTCTTGAGAGAAGATGGTCCCCATAGTGCTCTATCCGCTATGCAAGTGGTGAAGGGGTTCAAGAAGAATGAACCAACCTTTCTTGTGTCCTTGAAAATGGAGGAAGAAGGATGCTCAACGGGAATCACAACTCCCATCATCGAAGGCGTCCTCGAAGAGTTCGATGACGTGATGCCATCGGAGTTGCCCAAGAAGCTGCCACCAAGAAGAGAGGTGGATCACAAGATCGAGTTGGAGCCAGGAGCGAAGCCCCCTTCGCGAGCACCATACCGCATGTCGCCACCGGAATTAGAAGAATTGCGGAGGCAGCTCAAAGACTTGGTGGAAGCAGGCTACATGCGGCCATCAAAGTCACCTTTTGGAGCACCGGTGCTGTTCCAAAAGAAGAAGGAAGGGTCGTTGCGGATGTGCATCGACTATAGAGCCATCAACAAGTTGACGGTGAAGAACAAGTGGCCGATTCCCAACATTGCCGACTTGTTCGACCAGCTTGGAGATGCGATGTGATTCACCAAGCTTGATCTTCGCACGGGCTACTATCAAGTGCGGATAGCAGAGGGCGACGAGCCAAAGACGGCTTGTGTGACGAGGTATGGCTCTTACGAGTTTCTTGTGATGCCATTCGGTCTCACCAACGCACCAGCCACGTTTTGCACTTTGATGAATCAAGTGTTCGAGCCATTCTTGGACCGGTTTGTCGTGGTCTACTTGGATGACATCGTTGTGTATAGCAAAACACTCGATGAGCATGCCGAGCATCTACGCCAAGTCTTCCAAGTCCTTCGCGACAACGAGTTGTACGTCAAGAGGGAGAAGTGCACATTTGCCGCCACGGAGGTTCCATTCTTGGGACACGTCATTGGTGGAGGCAAGTTGAAGATGGATGGAGCGAAGGTGCAGGCAATCCAAGAATGGGAGCCGCCGACGAAGGTGCCAGAGTTGCGGTCATTCCTCGGCCTTGCCAACTACTATTGGAGGTTTATCAAGGGCTACTCCAACATTGCAGCGCCCTTGACGGATCTCTTGAAGAAGAACAAGGCATGGGATTGGTCGGAAAGGTGCCAAGAAGCATTCGAGGCCTTGAAAGCAGCGGTGATGAAGGAGCCCGTGCTCGTGCTCCCCAACCCGACGTTGGCCTACGAAGTGCAGACCGATGCATCCGACTTTGCTATTGGGGGCGTGTTGATGCAAGATGGGCATCCCATTGCGTTCGAGAGTCGGAAGCTCAGCGGGACGGAGAGGCGATACACCGTTCAAGAGAAGGAGATGACGGCCGTGGTGCATTGCTTGCGCACATGGAGGCACTACTTGTTGGGGTCAAAGTTCGTAGTGAAGACGGACAACGTGGCAACGAGCTACTTTCTGACGTAGAAGAAGCTCACCCCTAAGCAAGCGAGGTGGCAAGACTTTTTGGCCGAGTTCGACTTCGTTATGGAGTACAATCCAGGCAAGGCGAATTCTGTTGCCGATGCTCTTAGCCGCAAGAGTGCAGCCGCAAGCATCAGCCAGCCCACGTTTCCCTTGAAGGAGCGGATCGTTGAAGGCCTTGGCCATGACCCCTTCGCCAAAACCGTAGCGGAGTACATCAAGCAAGGTGAAACTCGGCGGTTTTGGATGAAGGATGGGCTCATCATGACCAAGGGAGAGCGGGTGTGCGTGCCAAGATGGGCCAACTTGAGGAAGGAGATCATGAAAGAGTGCCATGATTCCAAGTGGGCGGGTCATCCCGGCATCGAGAGAACGCAAGCGCTCATCGAAGAAGCATACTTTTGGCCGCGTATGGGAGACGACGTGGAGATGTATGTGAAGACTTGTCTTGTGTGCCAACAAGACAAGATGGAGCAGAGAAGCCCGGCAGGCTTGCTAGAGCCCTTGCCCACGCCTCAACGACCATGGGAGAGTGTAAGCATGGACTTCATCATCGGACTTCCCAAAGTCGATGGATGCGGTTGCATCATGGTTGTGGTGGACAGATTCTCGAAGTATGGAGTGTTCATTCCTGGGCCAAAAGACTTAACGGCGGAGGATGCGGCACGGCTATTCTTCAAGAACGTGGTCAAGTATTGGGGCATTCCTAGCAGCATTGTGAGCGACAGAGATGGGCGCTTCACGGGCAGATTTTGGCGAGAGTTGTTCAAGATCATGGGCTCAAACTTGAACTTCTCGACGGCATTTCATCCTCAAAGCGACGGCCAGACGGAGCGGGTGAATGCCTTGTTGGAGGTGTACTTGCGGCACTACGTGAGTGCAAACCAACGAGATTGGGTGAAGTTGATGGACACGGCACAGTTCTCCTACAACTTGCACCGCAGCGAGTCGACCAACACGAGTCCATTCGAGTTGGCGACGGGGCAGCAACCTTTGACACCTACGACGGTGGCAACGGGGTATAGAGGCAACAGTCTGGCGGCCTACAAGTTCGCTAAAGGCTGGGACGAGAAGATGGATATGGCCAAGTCTTACTTAGCCCGCGCTAGTAAGAAGATGAAGAAATGAGTGGACAAGAAGAGGCGGCACTTGGAGTTCGAAGAGGGGGACATGGTGATGGTCAAGTTCTATCCTCATCGCTTCAAGCATCTCAAGAACGTGCACAAGGGACTGCTTCGCCGCTATGAAGGGCCATTCCCCATCGTGAAGAGGATTGGCAATGTGGTATACAAGGTAGAGTTGCCGACGCACTTGGAGATCCATCCGGTCTTTCATGTGAGCCAGCTCAAGTCTTACCACGAAGATAAGGAGGACGAGCAACGAAGGGAGTCGCAACGCACACCAACACTCGTCACCAAGACACACGACCATGAAGTCGAAGAAATCATGGCGCGTCATGTTATTCCTCGTCGTGGCGTACATCCAAGCTTTGTGGAGTACTTAGTCAAGTGGCGCAACCTTCCGGAGAGTGAAGCAACTTGGGAGAAAGAGCTCACGCTTTGGAAGAGCAAGGACTTGATCGAAGCATTCCATCAAGAGGACGCGACGAGGGCGTCGCAAGCATAGGTGGGGGAGGATGTCACATGTGGCAGATGACATGGCGCCAACAAGGTGACAACATGGTGGCTGCACATGTGGCATGCATGGAAGACTAGTAGCATAGAGATGCTCCTAGGATTCTCCACCTAAATGAGAGCTTAATGGTGCACTTATGGGCTACATTATGGGTAGCATTATTAGAGTGCATTATGGGGGGACTTTATGGGGTGTATTGATGTAGAGGGACTATTATGAGGGGCATTGATGCCTTGTATGAGGAGAGGCCTATATAAGGAGCCATCTCCCTCACTTGTAACTCATTCCATCATTTTTTAGAGTAATACACACTAGAGAGTTCTCCCAATCCTTTGTCTTTGTTCTTGTTCTTTGCTTGCTTGTGAGTTTGAGAGAAAGGCTGCCTAGCGCTCTAACGGAATTGAGAGCTAGGGCCGCATGATCGAGAGTAAGGTTGTGACACCACCCAGTGGAGTTTAAGTTGGGAGGCGAAAAGCTTCGCCCAGAGATCGTGGCGGATCCACTCTTGGTGGCTTCATGTTCTCAAGCATGATAGATCCGCAATGTCAAGCTAGTGACGTTAACTTAGCGCTTGTTGGGAGGAAACCCAATCTAGGTTTGTTTTTCTTTTCCTTATTTTCTCTTTTTGTGGTTGAGTGAAAAGTTTAACTGATCAAAGTGGTATCCCCGTGCCAGGTCTTTTTAATTGTGTGTTTTGAGAAGGGTTGTGATCTATAGTAGGCATGGTGGAGTAGATCGAGTCAAAATTTTCTGGAAATGTCATGTTTTCACTTCAGTTCACGGTGTGAGCTTGCAGTTCGCGGTTTTAATCGACCGTGAAATGCTTAACGCGTCCGTGAACCAGGGTGCTTCCACGTGTTCTGAAAATCGCTGTTTCACCCCAGTTCACGGTCCGCGAGCTATTTTCACGGTCTTAGCGATCGTGAACTAGGCAACGCGTCCTTGAACCTCAGGGTCTACCTATAGAAGGGTCGTGAACGCCTTATATTCACTTCACGACCCATTTTTCATCGGAAAACTTTCAAATTTGACTGAAAACCGTGATTTCCCGACGAATTTTGCCACGTTTGTCAACTTCCAGCGATCCAAATCAAAAACCAACCACAAACCCAATCATACCTCGTCAAGGGAGGCCTTTGCTAAGATTTTGGGAAGATTTGGAGCTGATTTTTCCGGTGAGGCTATTTTCGGCGAGGCTCCAGTGCCCCCTCCCTGGTCTGTTTTCGTGCAAATTTTTCGACTCCGTCGCCCTAAAGACATAGTTCCAATGGAAAACATAAGCCGCTGAAACCAGCCAGACCTCGGTTTTTCACTATTTTGACCTGTTTTATCTTGTTTTGAACGGCTCTGGCTAGTTGTAAAATATGGCTGGGCAGAGCCGTTTTCATGCCCGGTTCCAGTCAAACTCGATCGAACCGACCGACCAAATAGCAGTTTGACAACCTTAGGACAGATTGTAGCAACTAGCCACATCACTGTCCCGGACTATAGCAGCATAGTAGCGTCTTCACTTAAGCAGACCAACACCAACGTCTGTTTGCGCTTTGCGGTAAAACGGGTGATTCGGACCTAAATGTACAATTTTTATCTCCGTTTCTCTTTGTCGTTCTTAGGCATTCCATGCCTCCTAACTAGGTAAATATAAGACAAACCTCTAAACTCAAGTTAGACATCTAGGTTATTGTGATTAAGCCGTCCAAACCCCGGTTTGAGGGAGAATGTAAGTCAACCCTCTTTTGCTTGGGCCAAGAGGGCTACTTTCGTCGCCTATAATGAATTCCTTGGCCTAGCGGTTGAGAGTGTGGTTTCCAACCACTGTTGCTCCTCCTACGATTCGCAATCGCCTTGTCGCGCACCAATTCATTCGATCCCATAGTTCATGGTAGTTGGTTAGGGGGAAACAACTCTCGAGTGAAGCTTCTCACCATGAGTTTCAACCCCTTTTACTTTTCAAGCCTTGCACTTTTAATCATAGATTGTAGAGATTCTTTCAAACTTCATTCCTCTAGATAACGTTTCAAACAATTGAAGTAGGGGTACATGTACCGACCCGGGTTGATATTTAAACATATTTGCCCTATACCCATTTAAGGATTATACTTGGGTCTTAAGTGGGATTTGAGTGTGATATTCGGAGCGAGACAACGGGATACCAGGGCAAAAATTGACACCGTACCAGTCCGTAACCAGTTTACCAAAGTATACTCAGTATCGGCATACGATAGCGGTAGTAGGATTTCTGATATACCAGTAACTGGTCAAACAATATGGTTTAAATCCACTTGCACTTGCTAGGCGAAGGAATTGTGAATTAAAATTGTTATCACGAAGCAAATGCACTATATTGGGGGTTCAAGAAGCTTTGGATAGTGGTTCTAACTTCTAAGGCACTGATTACATAAATTGATTGTGAAGGCCTCATTTCTGAGCTTAGGAATAAGGAAATGGACAAGACTAGGATTGGATTTTTATGTGAAATGCTCTTGCTTATGGGTGTCACAAGAAAGTCTAGGCTTGGAATATGAGAGAATAGTTGTCAAATAGGTATTTTCACCAAAAACTATCCAACAAGACGGTTCATGCTTTTGTTGAGGTTAAAACACCTAGGTCCATAACGTTATGACTTAGGGATGGCGGTTTGGTTTGGTTAACAGAATTGATAAATGAAAATAATAAGTTCTTTAAAATCGAAATGATTAAAGGTTTTTGTCGGCTTTGTTTTCGGTTAGAAAAATCGTAAAACAGAAAATGAATTCTTGAGTTCATTATGGTTTATCGGTTTTTTATTAGTTTATTAACTATTTTTTGTGAACTGAAACCAAAGCCGTTAAAGCATTTATCGGATTGTATTTGTTAAGGAAAACCAATAAGCCTATAACACATGTTCGATTTTAGTAAAATCGAAACCAAATAGCCACCTACTTTGTGTATAGTTGATAGGTCCCTATTTACTTGTTGGATGTGACTGCTTAATTAGATTAGAAGATGGTGTTTATTAAAAAAAATGGAAAGCAACCAAAAGAAAATTATGTTTTTGTTTTATAAAAATAACATATGTTTATTTTCGTGGTTATGTATTATTTAAATGATTCAAACGTGGTATTACCATTAGATCAAGTCTTTGTTCGTAACCAAAAAGAATATTATAACCAACATTTGTAAAACCATGCTGTATCAGCGATATAACAAAAAAAAAATTTGCCTACCAGAGTCTAACCATCATTGAGATTGTTGAGTTTTCTTTCTTCCAACTATCTCCCTACCTTTTTATGTGTATTGCTTTTTTATACTAAAAACAAAGGGTAAAAGTGACATTTTACTCAAAAAATAATATAACTTATTTAAATATTACGATAACTATCACATAAACTAAATGATGTAAACTACAATTCACCAATTTTCTTATATACATGCATTGTCCACAATATAACGTTTGGAAGTGTCAAGTTACAAAACAATGCATGTAATGTTTTGTGTGGGTTCCACCAACAATCAACAAAAATGAGGGATTGTACAGTTGTTCTTTTTGTTTTATAGTTGTGCCACTTGACAATGCATGTAATAGTTGTGCCACTTTACCTTTTCCATTTTATATCAATTGTTCTTTTGTTTTATATTAAAAATGGAGGGCAAATGTGACTTTTACTTGTAAAGTAACTTTATAAAAATCAATTCATAAATTATAATATTAACAACCAGACAATTTAATGTCAAAATGCATTTATTATATCAATACATGCATTATATCCTAATGATTCATAACAGTACAATAATTTAATATACACAACTTTCAAAGGACCCCATATATTATTATGCATGCATTGATGACAATGAATCAACTTAACTATCACCAAAACCAAACGACCCCTGAATCACGAATTTAAGACAAATACTTTACCATTTTAACTTTGCTAGTACAATCTGATACAATTTTACAATCAACCATGCGAGACCTCACACAAAGTTATTGCTTCACCAGAAGCCACACAAGATGATGGGAATCTAGATGATAATATACCCAATATTGATCCAAGGGATGTCATTGATGGTCCACTTACTCGGACCAGACTTACAACTTGCTTATGTTATCAAAGACGCTCTCAAAGAGTTGTCAAACCCTAAGGAAGATGCTAGATTTAAGAAATGGGGATATCCTACAACTATCATAGTCTAACAAGGATTTGTCGAAGATGTTTAATTGCTGTACATGTTGGGTTAGGAGTCTTTTTATTAAATTTGCTTTATTTATTTGTTTCAGTAAGTACTTTTTAGTTTCCTAGGTGTAGAAGGAAGTATTTTCTTTTGAGTTAGCCTCTCTATAAATAGAAGGCTTGTAGTTCAATTTTATTCATTCATTATTCAGATTTCAATAAGAGCTTTCAAGACTTGCAAGAAATATTTCCTTGTGATTTCTTAGACTTATCAACCCCTTGGTTGTGGCGCCTTGCCCCGAACCTTATCATCGGCTGGTGTGGCGGTTCTTCCTCCATTTAACCTACCCAAAACCCTAAATTTTCCAATTTCTTACAATCTCCAGCAACACTAGCTATTTTATTCTCAATTAGACCAGTTTAGGCACGTCGGTTTGGTATCAGAGCTTCGATTTTTGCTAGACTTTTAGTTAATTTTCTTTAAAAAAAAACAAAACAAAAAACTCTTTCCTTTTTTGGAATGACATTCCCTTCAACCGAAGGAAGGATGAGTGGAGAAGTAAAAGTCGAGCCAACTTTGCAATCTCTTCAAGAGTCTCTCCTGCAGCTTACTACGAATGTTCAACAGTTGGTAGAAAATCAACAAGATGACAGAGGCAGGAGTCAACCTAGGAGGGCGGTTCGAGGTGCTCGCATTAACAAGGAAGACGAAGAACAAGACCGAAAGAGGGTTACTCATGGAGATATTAAGATTAAAATCCCTTTGTTTGCCGGAAAGAGTGATCCTGAAGAATTTTGGGATTGGGTGGACAAAGTTGATTGTGCTTTTGAGTGTCAAGACTATGAAGAATTCGTCAAAGTTCGTCTTGTAGCAGCTGAACTTACCAGTTATGCTAATTTATGGGGGGGAAAAACTAAAGCTCAAAAAAGGAATCCTATTGAGGTTTGGGAAACATTGAAGACATTGATGAATGAAAGATTTGTGCCAGGCTATAATAAGCAATAACTATATTACAAATTTTTAGAATATTGAGCAACGAGGTAAGAGTGTGGTAGATTATGCTACAGAATATGAGATGTTGCAGATGAGGTGCAAACTCGATGAACCTAAAGAGATGGACACAGCTCGTTTCATGAGGGGGTGAAGAACCTATTAAACTTTGGAGGAAGTCATTCAATTGGCTGTCAAAGTTAAGAAACAAAAGACATCCAATCAAAATACTAGAGCTACCCCTCATATCACATCAAGGACCATAGATTGGAAGCATAAAGAGCACCCTAAAACCACTCCTAAACCTGAAGAGTCACGAAGAGAGGAGTACAAGGAGAAGGCAGTTTCTAGGTATGTGCAGACTAGCACCATTAAATGCTTCAAATGACTGGGTAGAGGACATATTTCTTCCCAAAGTCCTAATCGACGAGTTGTCATCATGAGGGGACTCCCTCCTGATTATGAGAGTGAAAAGGAAGATGAAACAGATGAAGAAAATGGCGAGGCAGAACCTGATGGAGAATTGTTTTTTGTTAGAAGACTTTTGGGAACTCAAGTAATGGAAGACGAGGAATGTGAAAATTTGATTCACATACATGGCAAGATCAAAGAGAACAAGTACTTATTCATTATCGATGGTGGGAGTTGCACAAATGCTGCTTCAACTTATTTGGTGCAGAAAATGAAGTTGGTTGTTTGGATCACCCGCACCCATATAAACTATGGTGGATAAATGACAAGGGTGAACTCTTAGTTACCAAAAAAGTACGAGTCCCATTCTCAATTGGCAACTACTCTGATGAGATTGTATGTGATGTGGTGCCTATGACAGCCTGCCATATTCTGTTGGGACGCCCTTGGAAGTTTGATCGTGATGTTGATTTTAAAGGATCTGCCAACACTTATACTATGTGGAAAGATGGAAAATCATACAAGTTGAAACCTCGAAGTCTCCAAGAAGTTAAGAAAGACCAACGAGTAATGATTTCCAAGGTGAAAGACTACTCGAAAACCCATCATGTGAAAAAGGAGGCCTTATTTGCTACGCAAAAAGAAGAAATGGAGGTACTTCAAGGAAATGGTTCTGTTTACCTATAGAATGCACCTAGAGGAGGCTAAGGAGCTACAAAGGCAGGTGGGCGAATTATAGAATAAGGGATACGTTCGAGAATCGTTAAGTTCTTGCTCTGCGCCTACCTTGTTGGTATCAAAGAAAGACGGTACAATGAGGATGTGTGTGGATAGTCGAGCTATCAACAAGATCACCATCAAATACCGACATCCTATTCACAAGTGGATGACATGTTAGATGAACTACATAGTTCAACGTGGTTTTCGAAGATTGATTTGAAGAGTGGCTATCATAAAATTCGAATGAGAGAAGGGGGTGAATGGAAGACGACATTCAAAACCAAGCATGGGTTATTTGAGTGGCTGGTTATGCCCTTTGGCTTGACAAATACTCCTAGTACATTTATGAGATTAATGAATCACATAAAAAGGAACTTTTTGGGAAAATTTGTGATTGTTTATTTTGATGACATTCTTATATATAGCAAGAGTTTGGAAGAACATGTTTCTCATGTGAAACAAGTCTTGGAGGTTTTAAGACAAGCACAACTATATGAGAATTTTAAGAAGAGTCACTTCCGCCAAGAACGTGTAGTATTCTTGGGTTTTATTGTCTCCAAAGAAGGCGTTGAAGTGGACGAGGAGAAAATTAAGGCAATTAAGGATTGGTCGTCTCCTAAAAGTGTTGGGGAAGTACAAAGCTTTCACGGCCTAGCCTCATTCTATAGAAGGTTTGTGAAGAATTTCAGCTCTATTGTGGTGCCAATGATTTAATGTTTGAAGAAAGGAGGTGAATTCAAATGGAGTGATGTCGCACAAAGAAGTTTTGAGGAGATCAAGAAATTATTGTGTGAAGCACCTATCCTAGCCTTACCAGACTTTGCCAAGACCTTTGAGGTAGAATGTGATGCATCTGGAGTAGGAATTGGAGCTATCCTCATACAGGAAAATCGTTCTATTGCCTATTTTAGTGAGAAGCTCCATAATTCAACATTCAATTATTCAATCTACGACAAGGAATTTTATGCGCTAATTCGAGCTCTAGAGACATGGCAACATTATCTACTGCCCAAAGAGTTCATTATACACTCTGATCATGAGTCTTTGAAGTACTTGAATGGGCAAGGGAAGTTGAACAAACGACATACTAAATGGGTGGATTCTTGAGGCATTTCCCTACATCATCAAGTAAAAGAAAGGCAAAACTAATGTTGTGGCCGATGCACTGTCACGAAGGCATACCTTGATTTCTGAAATGCAAGTTTGCTATTTTGGTTTTGACTGGACCAAGGACTTGTATGAGAATGATCCATATTTTGCAGAGATACTTGAAGCATGTGCGACCGGTGCTAGTCATGGGTTCTATAAACACGAAGGTTACATCTTCAAATGTGTTTGCTTATGCATTCCAACATGCTCTTTAAGAGAGCTTGTGGTCAAAGAAGCTCATGGAGGTGGTCAAGCAAGACATTTTTGCAAAAAGAAAACATTGGAGGCTGTTGAAGATAATTTCTTTTGGCTTTTGTGGCTTGCAAGAAAGCCAAAAGTCAGGAGGAGCCTTATGGTTTGGACAAGTCATTACCCATACCACATCACCCGTGGGAGGACATTAGTATGAAATTTGTACTTGGGTTACCAAAGACACTACAAGGGAAAGATTCAATCATGGTAGTGGTGGATAGATTCTCCAAAATGAGTCATTTCATCCCATGTCATAAGACTAGCGATGCTTCTCACGTGGCTGACTTGTTTCTAAAGGAGATCGTGAGACTACATGGTGTGTCTAAGAGCATTGTGAGTGATCGAGATCCAAGATTTCTTAGCTACTTTTGGAAGACTCTGTGGAAAAAACTTGGGACGCGACTCTTATTTAGCACTTCGTGTCATCCACAAACCGATGGGCTAGCTGAAGTTGTGAACCGTACTCTAGGAAGGTTGTTACGTGCAATTGTGGGAAAGAATTTGTGAGATTGGGATAGTTGTTTAGCTCATGTTGCATTTGCTTATAATAGATGTGTGCACGGGGCAACAAAATTCAACCCTTTTGAGGTTTTCTATGGCTTTAACCCCAATACTCCACTAGACTTGGCCCCACTACCTTTAGAGGTACAAGTGAGCATGGATGCTAAAAAGAAGGTTGAATTTGGGAAGCAACTACACGAGAAAGCCAGGGAAAATATTGTGAAACAAACAACGACATATGAAAGACAGGCAAACAAGAAGAAGAGGCCTATGCATTTTCAACCTGGTGACTTGGTATGGATTCACTTAAGGAAGGATCGTTTTCCCAATGAACGGAAATCTAAGCTTATGCCTCGTGCTGATGGTCCTTTCGAGATCCTTGAGAAGATTAATGACAATGCCTATTAGCTCAAACTTCCTGATGCCTATGATGTTTCAACCATATTTAATGTATGAGACCTCTCGCCATATTATGAAGACTTGGAGTTCGCGGATTTGAGGGCAAATCCATAAACTCCCGGGGGGGGGGGGGGGGGGGGGGGGGGTAGGGATGGCAACCAAACCCGAACCCACGGGTACCCACCCGACCCAACCCGGTCAACGCGGGTAAAATCCGTGTTGACGGGTTTCGGGTTGGGTTTGGGTTTAAACCCGTTCACTATTTACCGGGTTGGGTTTGGGTTTAGGTAAACCCGACCCGTGGGACCCCCCAACACATATAATTAATTTTCTCGGTATATTTAATATTTTAAACAACTAATCTTATTTATGTTTGTGGAGACATGTCTAATTTTTTCTTTCTAATTGTGTAGAATGAAGTTTGTGTTATCGAGTGGAGAGTGAAGAAACTTAATTGAAAGGAAGAAGCCTTAAATTAATATAATATTTATGGATAATTTATGATTTACTTCAATTTTCTTGAGTTTTCTAGATTGCGTTGAACAATTTGTATAGTTAATTTGTGATTTGCTTGAATTTTCTAGAATAGTGTTTTAAATATGGATAATTTGTATTGAGAGATTGATATTTGACTTTAATTTTGATAGGAACATGTTATTGTAAATTTTTTACGACAAAAACCCGTGGGTACCCATGAACCCGCGGATACCCAGCGGGTTGGGTTGGGTTTGAGTTTTTCAAACCCAGTGGGTTTTACCCCGGGTTTTTTTCACGGATAAACCAATGGGTTTGGGTTTGGGTTTGGCAAAACCCGACCCAACCCGACCCATTGCCATCCCTGGGGGGGGGGTGGGATGATGGAAATCTAGATGAGAATATACTCAATATTGATCCAAGGGATGTCATTGATGGTCCACTTACTCGGACCAGACTTAGACATCTTGCTTATGTTATCAAAGACGCTCTCAAAGAGTTATGAAACCGTAAGGAAGATGCTGGATTTCAGAAATGGGGATCTCCTATAACTATCTCTGTCTAATAAGAATTTGTAGAAGATGAAGAATTTCTAGAAGATGTGTAATTGTTGTCCATGTTGGATTAGAAGTCTTTTTATTATATTTGCTTTATTTGTTTGTTTCGGTAAGTACTTTTCAGTTTACTAAGTGTAGAAGGAAGTGTTTTCTTTTGAGTTAGCCTCTATTTAGATTTCAATAAAAATTTTCAAGAGTTGCAAGAAATATTTCCTTGTGATTTCTTAGCCTTATCAACACCTTGATTGTGGCGCCTTGCCCCGAACCTTATCACCGGCTGGTGTGGCGATTATTCCTCTTCTAACCTACCCAAAACCCTAAATATCCAATTCCTTTCAATTTCCAGCAACATTAGCTATCTTATTCTCAATTAGACCAGTTTAGGCACATCACAAGATGACAGCCGAGTCCCAACCAGATAGAAAGCATAGCCAAACATCGGAAATAGAAGTTTAACTACAGGACTATTTGAAACAAGTACAAAATGCAGAGTGCCTGTATTGTTAGAACAGAATCAAACTTCCAGCTTCTGTCCATAAGCTCTCTCACTCTTTCACAGTAGAGTTCAGATTAAGCAAAGGCAAATAACATCCCCCGTCCATCACTACTACTACTACTACATAGAAGTTAACGACATCCAAGGAAGCCACCTGTCTGGTGCAGCATGGCATCAATTTCATCTCCATCTTCCATTTCAAGCTATCGTAGAAGTCACATAAAATCAGTCAAACAACGAGTCATAGAAGTAACTATCTCCAGTGCTCTACGGCCAATAGAAAAAAAATTTGGACCGACTCCTAATGACAAGGTATGGAAAGGAAAGAAGGGCTCACCTCGTCTGGGGTCTGATCAACACGAAGCCTACGACCATCGAACAAGAATGCAATCGAGTTCAGGTCCACCGACTGTCTATCGCAGTATGCTGTCATCAATTTGCGAAGCTGGGTGCTGCGCTTGATCCTGAAGAACACCTCGTTCCCATCCTGCCGAATCACACATGTAGGTTAATAAAAAGAGAAAACACCAACAAGGTAGGAGCTAGTTGGAAAGAGTAAGAATACAAGCTGAAAGCAAAATCACCCGAGTAGAAAGTAAGACAAAAAAAGCAACCCATTTCATCTGGAGGGTCAAACATGTACCAGCCACCAATTTATGCAAGCACTGAACAAAAAAACCCTGATTTCAAAATCACTACTTGTTTCCAGGCAAGCTCTCTTTTTTTTTCACTTCTTTTCCTGGCTTCGATTGAAGGAGGACACGGCAACATGTCTTAAAAGCTCACATCCCTACCAAAAGCCGAGAAAATATATACAAAATCAATCGTACGAGGCACCCATATCAGATCAACCTCAAACATACACGAACCAGACCGATTACTGCTTTGGTAAAACCTAACACAACATTCAATCCGCTTCAAACCAAGCTAATCGACACGGCTAACAAAAGCTACGATTAAACCCTCAAAGTACTAACGGCATGAATCAGAATTCTACAGGCCAACTCCAAAGGAAAAATCAAATAGTAAATCCAGGTCACCTGGCCCTTGACTTTGAGGTTGATGTGACCTCCCTGATCCCCGGGCTTCTTGTCTTCCTCCTGCCCGCCGCCGCCTCCGCCGCCGGTGGCCGACATATCTCTTTATCTCCCTCTCCCTCCTTCTCCCGTCAACCGTCGGATCTCCTCTCTGACTTCCGGAAGCGAAACGCCGAACTCTATCACTCCCAGCGCTGTCACTCTGGCGGTAGAAATAATGAATAGCAATTGATATAGAGAGGAGAGCGCAGAAGAAAGAGATAATTGTTTTGTCGAGCTGTGGGCCCTGCTCCGGAGAGAAGAAGGGCTGGAATTTATTCGCGTTACATTCACGCTCTTATGCAGTGACATTTGCCCACCACTTTCGAGGGCTCGTGGGCATTTCGATTTCTTCAAAAGTAGGACCCGTTAGAGTAGAGCACGGTTGTCAGTTGTCATGGCATGTCAATTGGTTAAACCTGATTCAATCAGTGTCGGTTATTAACCGGCATAATATCATTGTTATGATTAGGGGTGGAAATTGGGGTGGGTGTGGTTACCCGCTCCATATTTTACAAGCATAGAGTTCTAGTCGTCACTAACATATTTGTTGTTCGTAACTAGACTATAGTGATATACACTTGTGTTGTTCGTGGAGATACAATTTTGTACATCGATCTTACTCAACGTAGAGATTTTTTCTTTTTGAGTTTAGTATTCAACTTTTGTGTCAGAGAGCTGTGATTTCATATTTTCCCGACTAGGGGTGAAATATGACAATTAAATATGATCTTGTATTTTTCTCACACAAAAGCAAAAACATACTAATAAAAGTTATAAAAGGTGTTCACTTTTAATGAATTTGTTATTCTCCACTTTATCGATTATAGAGTTTTATAAACTAAAAAAATTATTACATAAAACTGATTAGTGTGCCTTTTTATTTGGTGGCTACTTTAATTTTTATCCTCGCACTTTTCACATACTATTATATTATAAAGTTAATTCACTAAATATATATAATTAGTGTGGTTATTGTGAATTTTGTGGGTTAACCGCGGTGGGTAGTGGATAACCACTAACCACAAAAATCGTTATTTTACTACCCACACCCAACCCACTACCCACAACTTGTGGGTATGATTACCCACAATAGGTGCGGGTTGGTGCGGTTTGCGGATTATCCACAACCCGCAACCCAAACTTCCACCCCTAGGTATGATGAATAAAAAATAAATTTAGTATATGTTTTATGAATGTAACAATTAAAAGTTGATGTAATTTGTTGGATTCAGATATAAACGTTTAGATATTGACGTTAAATATTTTAAATATGAGTATTTATTATTTTATTTGTAAGTTGTAATCTATTAACTCGGCGTAAACCGACACAAACGGGTTGTACTACTGGAAGTACCATTCTACTTGCTAAACCGGCGCAACAGTATAAAGCGGTTTTGACAACCTTGCAATGTACTGGTGAACAAATCAAACCGAAAACTGACCCAATTGTACCACCCAAATCGACCCACCAGCAATGTGAGAAAAAAAATTCAATTTTATGGGTGAGTGTCGATTTAAATTTTGAAAACCAGAGCATTGTGGTTGCGTGCGAGTTTTAATGGTACAACCCGAGATTTTCTAAATCAACTCGTGATATTATATTATACATCAAAGTCTTACATATTGATATATATTCATTTAAGTCACAAATTTCTTACGTTAATTGTTACACGTCCTTTGTTTACATAGTTATAATTGATAAATTGTAAAGTCAATTATTTATTGGACCATTCATTCAAGTAAAATATTATTTTAATTCTTGTATTTGTCTAGTTTGAATTTAGGTTACCTAATTCGCGCCTCTATGCCTCCCGCTCCCACTCCAGTGCGTAGAAACATGAACTTTCAGCAATCTGTCAATAATTTGCGAACTAAAATTAGTGAATGCATGAATTAAATTTTCTGGAGTGCGAATTCTTCTTAATTATCTACCATAGTCTCGCTACCATCACATTCCTATGCTTCATTTGTCAGTGTCGCTAGCCGCAACGGGCTGGTGCTAGGGGCGAAGAGTGGCAACGCTTCTTATGCACATGGAGAAAATCTATCAATCACATTCACATAAACTATGTAATACCCCCTTTCTTCCCGGTGCGCACTAACGCAATGAGAGGGAAATAATTAGCAAAGAAACAATGGAGCGAATTACTTGCTCCGATTAAATTAATTTATACATGAATGTGGAGAGAGGTTATTGTGTTGAGACTGGAGGGAGAATACCATAGACGATTTCCTGCGTCTGAGGGTGGAGGATGGTAGAGGAGAGTGGAATCAATCGGTGACAAAATCTAGGGGAAGGGACAGTGAGAAAAAAGAGAGTGGGTGAGTGACAGAAGTGTGAAGAGGCACCTACCCATAAGAGAGGAGGCAATGGACATTAAGAGAAATGACACACACCCACAAAGTAATTTTTTAATGCTTCACACAAGAAAAGCTAGGGGTAGCAACTCATTTGAAATCTATCACCCATCTACCTAACTATTCTCCATCCTCAAATGCTGGATATAAGCTTCTACCAATGACTGCAATATTCTCCAGTCGCCGGCCGAAAAAAGTTGCGTCTCACTAAAGGACGGTAATGCTCCAGTCTCTGCCACCATTGCCAAGCAATCTATCGTCATTTCCCGATATTCCCATCTTTCCTTCCATCCCAAGACTCACCCCATCTCCTTTCGGTAACTAAATTAACTGGAGCAAAGGAAGGAATTTCCACAGAAAGTCAATCAAAATAACATGGACGAGGACTAAGGCTCCAATACCGTCGGTCAGTAAAGTTGGGTCTCACTAAAAGGAAGTTTTACCTTTCTCAGCCAACGTTTCATCACAGTTACAAACGGTGATATGACTGCAAAGCTCAAAATTTTCTGGGACTCTTGGATTGTATGGATAATTCGGGGCCAAATGTACACATTTTACCCCTTATTTTTTTATTCGTTTAGCTTAGCATTTCATCGTTCCTCGACATATTTCACGCTAGGTTGTGCTTGTTTTGATACATTTCAGACTAGGGGTGGTAATCGGTAAACCGGTATCCGGTATACCGGATATCGTACCGGATACCGACGGTATTCGGTATACCGAATACCGTCGGTATCGGTATTCGGGGGAGTTATTTTACATTCGGTAATACCGGATAAGAGTCGGTAGATACCGACGGTATACCGGTATACCGTAATACCGATTATAAAAAAAAAAGAAGAGTAAAACGCGGTGCACTGAAGGGTAGAGCAGAGGAGTGTGATGCGATGGCCGAGGAGGAAGCTCGGAGCAGCAAGAGGATTAAGTGCTCAGCGGGAGAGAATGGGGAGGTGGAGATTGTGGAAGTTGAGAGTGAGAATGGAGAACGAGGTAGGTGCGGTAATGGAGGAACGTCGCCGTGGAAAGATGAGCCGAGTGAGTCGACGGTCGAGGGAGTTGCGGCGAACGGCAGGGTGCGGATCTATGTCAGGAAAGGGTATAAGGTGAAGAGGAACAACAAGATGAGGAGGTTTACGCGTTCTTCTATGAAGAAGCGTAAGGTAGAAGAGACGGTAGAAATTGAGGTGCGTGGATCGGAATCCATTGGCAACGGATCAGTCTCGACGATCAATGTTGAGGCGATTGGTGCCGGAGTGGAAGGGAGTGCAGTAGCGCCGCCGAAGAAGAATTTGGAGCTGAAAATGTCGAAGAAGAATTTGGGCCGTGACATGACGTTTTCCCTGTTTTTGGCCTGCTTGGACTCTTTAGTTTAAGGCATTTGCTCTAAGGGGAATAATTAAGGATGCGGGGATTCTATGCTTTTGCTCTATCTGCAATGGAGTCACAGTAAGTAGAAGATTTTCTTTGTAATGCAGTTGAACTTGTTAAGTGCTTTTTGGAGGGGATGAGAACTTATTGAGTTTGTGTTTGTTTTCTGTTTGGTATCCTTTTGTCGTGGTTTAACCGTGATTCAACCATTTCCTATCGCTAAATACCGCCTACCGGTTTTTCTTCCGATAGGAGGTTTTTCTGGTCGAACCGTTCGTACGGTATGGTTTTTCAATCCTTGCTTTCAGGTGACAGTTGCTTGTAGATGATAGGTTGAGTAGTGACCCCATGGCCATGATGTAAGTAGGTGTTAGTAAATTGTTTTCTCCTATTGAATCCTTACGTGGAGAAAATTATATGAAGACTATTAAGTTAAATTATATGAAGACTATTCAGTCGGTATACCGGCTCGAAAAAATAATCTCAATGAATTAACCGGTATTCGGTATACCGATATTAATACCGGATACCGACTATTCGGTATCCGGTACACCGACTATTCGGTATCCGGTACACCGGATAATATTCGGTATCGGTATTCGGTGGGTACACAATGTTATCCGGTATACCGGATACCGACCGATTACCAGCCCTATTTCAGACCCTAGCATGTGTGGAAGGGTCGAGGTCGAAGTTTGGGATAATTGGAGGTCAAAAAGCGCAAAAACCAAAGAAAAGTCTGAAGTCCGTGACAATTGCCTAGTAGTATTGAAGTGAAGGCGTCCAGGTAACAGCTGCAATTCACGGCCGTACAAGGCAGTTCACTGTCTCCTTAGATCGTGAACATGGACCACAAACCGTGAACATCGAGCAGTCCAGCGAGGTTCCAGAAGCTACTGACGACAAGGCAGTTCATAGTCTCTAAGACCGTGAACTGGGGCCATTGACCGTGAATCCAGCAGAGTGAAGCGGCGCATTTTGGGCGACACTGAGTTCACGGACGCGTTCAGGTGTTAACGGCCGTGAACTGGCCAACGCGTCCGTGAACTGATCACTCTCGGGCAAATATGAAGACAACAATGGGGAGAGAAAAATGAGAGCTGGTTTTTGGGAGAAGAAACACTTTCTTTCTCTAGGGTTTCAACCTAAACACCAAAGGAGAGTTCTAGTGAGAGAGAGAGTTCTAGGGTTTCAACCTAAACTTGGAGCATCATTGGAGGCTTGGGTGAACATTCAAGCCTAGAAGAAGAAGACGATCTTGAGCTCAAATTTGTAATCCCTCTCTCTCTCTCTCTCTCTCTCTCTCTCTCTCTCTAGAAACTCACTCTTTTCTCTTGGGTGTTGTAGATCCCTAACTAATACTTTGTAATTACTTGTTTAGATTGAATGATTGTCATTGGGTATTGTTTAATTTAATGATTGAGGTATTATTCATGTCGATTGTGCATGCTTGTGCTTAGCAATCTAAGGGTTGTGCATGTTTTGTGCTTAGCATACTTAGATTTGTGCATTTTGGTGCTTAGCAACCTAAGGATTGTGCATAATTGTGCTTAGCACCCTTAGGTTTGTAAATGGTGATGCTAGCAATCTAATTAGCCACCTTAACCTAGCTTAGAGAGGAAAATCCCCCTTCCAAGGAAGACTCATTCGAGTTGGTTTTCCTTCAGCTTTTTAAGCTACCTAACTAGGTTAATTTAGGGCAATCCTCATTGTTGAATTAAGCAAATCAGTCAATCGCGATTAAACCGTTCGACCTTTGAGTTGAGTGAGGGAGTAAGTCAATTACCGATTTCCTAAACCGAGAGGGTCGAGTGACACGACCTATATTATTCACCTCGGTTTAGCAATTGAGATTGTTGTCACTGACCATATATGCATCCGTCTGCGGTTCGTGGTTACCTTGTTCATAGTAATCGTTCCAATCCAACGAGTCTTGGTAGCTAGTTAGGGGGAAGCAACTCCTGGGTGAAGCTCCCTTAGTTAGACTTTTCCTTACTAGTTTAGTTTGTAGTTTTTTTTTAGTTTTAAAACCCAAAACCGTTTTGCTAGATAACAACTTAAGCGATTGAAGTAGGGGTACATGAACCGGCTCGGGTTGACAATTTAAATACTTGCTCTATACTGCACCCGACTAGAGTTTAAAACTTGGACTATAGTCGAGATTAATTTGTGGTTTAATTTCGTGTGAGTCAATGGATTTTGCTACAATTTTACCGCACATCGGTTTTTGGGATGGTCACTCAATGGGGAAGCTCTGGGCTTTCATTCCTTATTCATCAAATGATCAATGGGTTCACCGTGATGGCGTTATTGTCGCCAGAGCTAGTTCAAGTGGCCTCTGCTCTTTTTTTTCTTCAGTTACAAACGATGGAGTTAATGGTACTTTAATTTGGCTAGAATTGATAAATTAGTTATTACCGAAAAACAGAAGCGGAATTAGTGAATTTAGGAGAGGTTTAATTCTTCTCGATTCTCGCCGACATTCAGCTCCCTATTCCACTTTTAGAATATGCGGCTTCAACAGTCACACCACAACATTCAATTTAGTTCTTTTAGAATCTTTTTATTCCATTTTATTTCATTGGAAAAAATATTAATTTATGATCTTATTTAATATTTATAGGCTTCTTTTTTTTTGCTAATTATTAAGCAAATAATGGTCATGTATCGCCTCTCGTAGAAGGATTTACCGTTATGGCATTTTACCAAAAAATGAGGTCCATTCAGTGAAAATGGACTATCATTGCCCCCTTACTGTTACCCTATGGAATTTTATGAGATTAAGTGATTTGCTTGCCTCCGTCTCAGGTTTGAATTTTAGTACATGATGCAGACATGTTATGCTTTACTAAACTTCCAATCCCACCTTCTCCCTTATGTTTGACTTCTTTGGAGAATCTGAAAGTCTTGTAATAAAGTGATTTTTTAGTATATTCAGCCACGTGCCCATTCTCTTGCCCGTCAGTTCCATTTCCAAGTTCATGAACTCTCTTCTACCTTCCATCCTACCCTGGTCCCTCGTCCCTAAAATGAGGCACCTCTCCTTATGGTTTGGGAATGCCACTTTGATGTTGTCATGCGCGATTCCGGTTGTTTGTCCTTGTTTTGTGTTGGATATACACGCAAGTTTCTCTGACCTTGGGATCTCAACACCAAAGAGTCTAGGATCTTTCTTGTTGAGTTGTTTGCTACCATGGATGACATTATGCTAGCAACCTCCAGGAGTCTGCCTGTGTGATCATCGAAGGTGATTTTGAAATGGTGATCCGTCAACTGGTTCGCCGATCAGTAGAAGTTTTGCTTGGCAATCCATTGCTTCGAGAGTGTCTTCGGTTATTGGATTTGTGCTCTCCTTGTATAGTTTTTAGTGCAGTTCTGCGGACTGCCTACTAAACTGCCTAGAGAATGGCACGTAAAGCTCTGTTGTTGTCCTCTTTAGAGTTAGAGTCCTTTGTTTTTTTGTAAGCTGGCTTCACTGAGTATTGCTTGAAGGGTTTTCCTGTAGATGTATCTAACTATTTTCTCCCAGTCATTGCTTGAAGAAAAAAAAAAGGCTCGGGAATTGCAAAGAAGGAAAGGAGCGGAATAACTAGTGATGGGCAATTTCATAATTATCTAGTTTGGGACCTGCCTGTTTTGGTAAATGATCAAGAATTATGAAGGATAAGTAGCACTATTGCATTTTGACTAAGACATGCTAACTTATTCTTAACACCAACGTTTAATTTAAAACACAAAGTCAATTTTCTGGGTAAAATACATCGGGTGCCACTTAACTTTGAGAATTGTTGTAGACATACCACTTAAATTTGAATAGAGCGTCGGGTACCACTGAACTCTATTATATGTGCACCCGATACCACTTAAGTTTACAGCTAAGTGCATTTTGTTAAAGTTGACAGAATATTCTTGAAATATTCTATTTTCTAAATTTCATAATTGGTCCTTCTACTTTTCTTATTGTAAAAAAATCATTTGGACTTATGAAAAACATCATTTTCTATTATTTAGTTACGATCCTCTTTTGAATACTTAATACCAAACCAATTTTTGAAAATATAGAATCAATTATCATTATAATTATTTTTAATTATCATTATGTGTTCTAATAATTGAATTATAGCATGAATCTTGTACTAAACAATGTTGTAGCTTTTATAGTCATATTTTCTTTTCTATAGTTTCTACCGAATGTTGTAGCTTTTATAATTTATTTATTACTTTGTTACTTTTCATCTCTTTTCGTTCTAAATTTTATCAATTAGTGGAATATGTTTAATTCTTTTTTATTCTGTTTCATTTATCATTTTTTACGTATTGATGATCGATTAGATTCTATTTTAACTATTTCTAAAGGTGCTTCTAACTAAATTATGGGTTTTAAATTGATATTTTAATATTAATTTAAAATATTTATTATAATATTATAGTATATTTATTATTTTTCTTTATATTCATTTATTATTTTTACTAATTTATCTATTTTTTTGGAAAATTTTGATTAGTCATTCTAGTAATAATATGTTTAGAAGTTTTTCTAATTATTATATTAGATAAAACTTGTAAAAATATAGTTTTGGATGTTTTTAAAAATTTTGGGTATCAAAAAGTAATTAAAAGTTTGCGTTGGATGGAAAAGCAGAAGGATGCACATTTTGGCGACATTAATGGTACTCGACGCCCTATTCAAAGTTAAGTTTTAAGTCAACCCAAATCTCAAACTTAAGTGGCACCCGAGGTATTTTACCCTCAATTCTCTTTAGTTACGTGATCACCAGTAGTTTTATGTAATAAACTAGTTGATCCCAATAACTCAAGTTGTTGGGAGAAGGTTACATCTTCTACACTACTTATAATCAACAGTATAATTTATAGCTGAAAAGTAAAACTGCAACCCCCATTCAAAATTTCCTGCCCATAGAGTGATTTTAGGAAGCTGATGTGGCAGAGTGTTAAGCGGGAAAAAAAGAGTCCCGCCTGATTTCAGAACCAAAAAACTCTCCACTACCCACTTTTTTCTCCTTCCAGGCCCACGTTCTCATTTAATTTGTATAAAAAACTCTCCACTACCCACTTTTTTCTCCTTCCAGGCCCACGTTCTCATTTAATTTGTATTAATTTGTATTTTTTATTTCCGATTTCCCTTCCTTCCACTCTTTCACCTCATTCGAATAAGTTTCTTGGCCTTCAGAAAATCAAACCTTGACTCAATCATCTGGTTCTTTTATGTGCTTGCATCTACCTTTGATTTCCGTTCTCTAAGCGTTAGATCGGTATTGGTTTTGCCGTAAGTTATTCTTCCTCTTTCAGATTTCTGTTTGTTGTTGTCGCTGCTTTTAAGTTTTAGGGATTCGGGTTCTGGGTTTTTTTTTTCCAGGGATTCGGTTGCAAAGATTCATCTCCCTTACCTTTGGTTCATTCCATTTTCTTTATTCTCTCTTACCTTCCTCGCTTCATTCTGTTGATTGGATTCTCTAGAGATCAAAAAGGGATTTTTGATTTTTCCCTTTCTCTTGAAAGTAACAAAGCTGCTTACTTTAAATTCCACTTCGCTTAGACTGTCTTCCAGAGAGCAGCCGACTGTCGATTTTGAGCTGAGTTTTTCCGGGCCGCAGAGAAAGAAGAGGAAAGAAAGAGACGTTCGGCGGCGGCAGCCAGATACTTCGTCCGGGTCGTTTTCCGGGTCAGTAAACCGAAGGGCCGGCTATAAACTACCGCTGGCCTGGCGGGGGAAAAGGAAAGCGTAAACCATAAGGCCTCGGGGATCCATTTCTCTCGCCAGCCCATACTTTAGAGGCCCAGCCTACTTGAGTCCAGAACCAGCCCATCGCCGACGAAATTTGGCGCGCCGTCCCCCACCCGCCACCACGTATGAGACATAATCAATTTACTTTATGATGTTAACTCTGTTGCAGGTAAATGTCGAAATCCAACTTGATCAGTAAGGGTTTCTCTCATATGTTTCTAGGTTAATTAATCTAATGGGACTGGCTATGATCTGATAATGTACTTTCAGCTCTAATCACTAAAGAAGTATAAAGTAGACGGTATTGATAAGCATGCTCCACTGGTTAGTGTATTGGTTCTACCAGGCTTTTTTCCCGTTATTACATAAGATCATTGGACAGTTTTATCTCACTCCATTAGTTTGTTTTATTGTTCTTCAACTTCATTTGCATTGTATTTGTATTGTGACATTAGAGTTGGAATCCATTTGTGCTAAAAGTACAAAGCGTAAACTGCATAATTGAAAGAAGGGATAAGCTTGGTATAGTTAGAAGAACTAGAATTGGTAAGCACTTATAGTGCTTTTCTTATTGCCAGCTTGCTTCTTTTTCAAACTTCTCTTTGGATATGGTTTTTATGGATGCCTTTGGATTATATTTGTGTTGGCCATTACATTGTTGTCCTTCTCGCTCTTCCTTTGCATCCCCAAGCTTGGAAGCCATTCTGTTATATGTGTTTTGTTCATCAATTTAAATTATGCCTTATATAGTTATATTTTTCTTCGACTGTTATGTTTGTGTGGTGTGTTGTATGTGTCATTAACTCACACAAACTTATAATTGGTGAGGAGTTCAACTTCTATTGAAACAATTAATTAATTTATATGAATGGCAGCTGCAAAATTTACTGGAACGGGTGCATCATTTACCACGACCTCTATTTCAGATTGCATCAGGTTATTGGAGAATTTAATATGGATAGTGCAAATGTCATCCCATCTGCCCAACCACAGATTTATCGATCGTCTGTACCATGTGAGTGTCATGGTTTAGCACGCAACTGCTTCAATGCAAACTGACATTAATATTTTCCCTTGAATCTCATTTGTTTAGGGAAACGTCGAGCAGTGTTTATTCATCCTGAAGATCAGTACCAACGCTGTGTTTTATCTGCTGAAGAGGAAGAAGCATTTGAGAGAGGTGTGTTATCTATGTTTTAATTTTTCTAATTAGTTCATCTATTCAATGAGTAATACATGGTTTTATATTTAAATTCTGCAGAAGAAGCTGCCTTACAATTCCAACTCTCTCAACTTCGGCGAATACTATCCCAAGTCGCCCGTAAGAGAAGACATCATATTTTGAAACAGAAGGTTCATAGGAGGGGCTTGCCTTTTGAACACCAAGGTTGTTGTTTGCTAAATTTTGTAGCAAGTCTTACAAATTAGGCTATTCTAGATTGTTGAATCTTTATTTATTTCTTTAATATCGTATGTGTTTTGGTGTTGTTCATAGTTTTGGAGCCGGAGTTTAGATTTCTATTACAAAAGCAAAGTCGATTACTTCGACGTATTCATCTGCATAGAAAGAGACGTGGCCGAAGTTTCTTTCCTACAGAAGTCAATCAAAGTATGTGGATTCTAATGGCCACTATTATACATGAAATGGTTCATCTCTATTTTGGTTTAGTTTTTGTACATTGGATATATGTTTTTGTGTTCCGGTCAACATATTTTGTTTCCTATTTTGGTTTTAGAACATATAATGTACCCATTTATGCCATGCATATAATTTAGTGATGTACTCTTCATGTCACCTTATGCAAATAGTGGATTGTTTTTAGATGTTGATGTGTCAAATTTGTGTGTTATGAACAAACTTTGGTGTTTCCTGAAATTTGACTTATTCTTACTTAAAATGAACGGTATACCAATCTATCTTGCCTTGAGAACATTTATTTTAATAATTGTGTTTACTGTAGCGCGCCTAAATCGGCTTCACAGTTTCTCAATCTCATTCAATTTATGAATTACTGTGACAAAAATTTATTAATATTACTTATCTATTTCACTAGGTCTTCTATTGGTTGAATTTTTTTGATATTGGTCCACCTGCATGTACGTGTCAACATTGTGGAGCAGTTATGTGGCGGTTCGAGAGTACTTTATCTACACGGAATGATGTGTTGCCTGCATTTCCTTTATGTTGCAAACATGGTAAAGTGAAATTGCCTCCTCGCAGAGATGTGCCCGAATTTTTTAAAACTCTACTTGAAGGGGATACACCATTAGCGCGTCACTTTCGTACTAACATCAGAGCCTATAACGGGGGTTTTTGCTTTATTTCTCTCATAGGTAAAGTCAATACTATTAATGATGGTCGTGGAGTTTATGTATATTCAATTGGTGGTCAGATTTATCATCGAATAGGATGTTTGGTTCCTGGTGATGGGGATAGTCCGAAATTTGCACAGCTTTACATTCACGATTCAGATAACGAGGTGTAGAATCGTATGGACTTTTACTCCACTGATCCTGCCAAGAATCCGTTGCGCCAGTGTATTGTTGAAGGCCTCCAGCATATGTTTGATGACAATAATATCCTGGTACGTACATTTCGTTCTGCGCGAGATAGGATACAAAACTCTGGTGTCCAGGAGCTTCAACTGAAACTATTGGCTAAGCGTGAAATTAATAGTAGAGAATATGATTTGCCCTCTGCGAATGAGATTGGAGCATTGATTGTAGATGAAACAGGAGAGCAATCATTTTCTCCAGATATAATTGTTCAACAGAAGGGTTCAGAAATGGAAAGGATTAGCGTATACCATCCAAGTCTGATGGCATTACAATATCCAATTTTATTCCCATATGGCGAGGATGGGTGGCATCCCTGCATTAGCTATAGTCACAGTAGCTCTAATATCAGTGTTGGAGATAAAATGATAACCCAGTGTGATTTTTATGCATATCGTCTTCAAACCCGTCTCCAGGAGTCGAATTCTCTGTTATTATCTGGTAAATTGTTTCAACAATATATGGTGAATGCATTTGCGTTAATTGAGGCTGAACGCTTAGACTGGATGCGTACCCATCAGTCGAAGCTAAGAGGACACTACTACAAGGATTTGTTGAATTCTTATCTGCGAGGGGATAGTGATATCAAGCTTTCTGGGAAGCCAGTTATTTTAGCTGCCTCACACACTGGTAGTCCAAGATACAAGTATGAGAATTTTCAGGATGCGATGGCTATTTGCAAGTGGATTGGTTATCCTGATTTGTTTATAACATTCACTTGCAATTCTAACTGGCCAGAGATACAGTTAATGGTTGATTTGATTAGAAGGTACAGTGGCAAAGATTCTGACCGGGCTGACATCACCGCCAGAGTTTTCAAAATCAAGCTTGATGAGTTTATGTTAGAGATTCGCGAGAAACAAATATTTGGGAAAATCAATGCATGTATGTGTGCTTATTCATTCGTTATTTATCTATTAATGTTCATCCATTACTCTGTTACCTCATTGAACTAATATTCCTTTTCCACTATTTGCATCTTGCTGTACAGATGTCAAAGCAATTGAATGGCAAAAGCGGGGTCTCCCTCATGCACACATATTGCTTTTTTTGGCCTCGGAGAATAAATTCCATGGTCCTGCGGCTATTGATTCCATAATATGTGCTGAAATTCCGGATCCTGATCTTGATCCTGAACTGTATGCAGTTGTCACAAGTTCAATGATGCATGGCCCGTGTGGTACAGTACGTCCTAATAATGTGTGCATGAAGAATGGGAAATGTAGTAAGCATTACCCCAAGGAATACTCTTCTCAAACAACTATTGATGAAACTGGGTTTGCTAAATATCGTCGGCGGAACAATGGTAGAGTTTTCAACTGTGGCGGCGTTGATCTGGATAATTGATGGGTTGTACCCTACAATCGATATTTGTTACTACGATTTGGAGCTCATATCAATATTGAATATTGTAACAAGACAAGGTATGGCTGAAGTAAATCGTATTTATCTATATGACGTTGTTGTTTCCTTTATTATATTACCAAACTCAGATTCTTAATGACAGGCTATATGTATATTTATATGCTACACTCATTATTAACTTTATGCATGCATATGAATTATGATTTAATTTCCAAAGATGAATAAAAACCAAACCAATATTTGTGCGATTTCTCTTTTTTTTTTAGTTATTTATAAACCTAGTGTTATCTTATTGGTGTGACTTCTTGCCGCAACTCTGTAATTTTTGTAATATTTTTTGGTGTGTTTTCCTTCATTTTTTTTTTGCCCCTTGGATAAGCTATTGTGATCCATTTGTTACCTTTTGTTCTCTGTACTTTGATTTCTTATTTAATACAAGTCACATTTAAGAAAAAATGTAATACAACTTTTTCCTACTTCCCTATCTAACATCTACAACTTGGTTTTATTTGATGTTTCTATAGGGCTGTGAAATATTTGTTTAAGTACATCAACAAACCCGAGGATCGTGCAATGGTCACTGTAGCTGCACAACAAACAGCTTCGGCTATGGATGGTCTGAATCGTGGAACTACGGTTGTGCAAATCGATGAGATAAAGGCATTCATGGATGCCCGTTACATCACATCGGGAGAAGCATGTTGGAGAATTTTTAGGTTTGATATATACACTCACTCTCCAACAGTACTGCGTATGTCCTGTCATTTGCCTGGTGAGAATACAGTGTATTCAAATGTTGATTCTAACGTGGAGGAAGCGGTTGAGTCTAGCAGTTCCCAAACCTCAATGTTGTTAGCATGGATGGATCTCAATCTTCAGTCAATGGATGCACGGAAATATACCTTTGCGGAGATGCCACAATATTATGTATGGAATAAAAAATACAAGAAGTGGCAGCAGCGCAAAAAAGGTACCTGCATTGCTAGATTATATTACTGCTACCCATCCGCAAAGGAGCGATACTATTTGCGAATGCTATTGCATGTTGTTAGGGGCTGTTGTTCTTATGATGATATTAGAACAGTGAATGGGGTGGTATATGAAACATTCCAAAAAGCATGTTATGCTCGGGGACTGTTATCAGGAGATTCTGAATGGAATGATTGTGTCCAAGAAGCTTCGCACTAGGCTTCTGGTTATAAACTTAGAAAACTTTTTGTCACAATTCTTATTCATTGTCAGGTGGCTGATGTGACTTCTTTTTGGTTAAAGAATTGGGAATTACTAAGTGAAGGCATTTTGCATTCACGACGTAGAGAGCTGAATTTACCCCAGTTGAATTTGGCGGAGGATGAAATTAAGGAGTTGTGCCTTATTCATATTGACAAATTGATGGATAGATTTTCGAAGTCATTAGCAGATTTCCCTGGGTTTCCTGTTCCCGATCAGTGTTTGCGTTCACATACGGTAAACAGGCTGATAGATATGGAGATGAATTATGGACCCGATGACTTAGATTGTTCTGAGGATCGACATAGTAGACCGTTGAATGGAGAACAACAAATCGCTTACGATATGGTATTACATTCTGTTTATACCAATGAGGGTAAATGCTTTTTTGTGGATGGATTTGGGGGTACTGGTAAGACATTTCTGTGGCGAGCAATTTGTGAGCAATTAAGATTTGAGAAGAAGATAGTATTATGTGTTGCTTCATCTGGTATTGCTGCACTGCTCATGGTCGGTGGAAGAACTGCACACTCAAGATTTCACATTCCCCTGGATGGTGATATAAAATCAACTTGCAATATAGAGCAAGGTTCTGAGGTAGCTGAATTGATTCTCAATGCTTCACTTATTATCTGGGATGAGGCACCGATGGCTCATAAACACAACATAGAGGCCCTAGATAGGACATTGAGGGATATATTCCGAGTTAAGCATGTTGATTCTGAGTTGAAGCCTTTTGGAGCAACTTGCAATATAGAGCAAGGTTCTGAGGTAGCTGAATTGATTCTCAATGCTTCACTTATTATCTGGGATGAGGCACCGATGGCTCATAAACACAACATAGAGGCCCTAGATAGGACATTGAGGGATATATTCCGAGTTAAGCATGTTGATTCTGAGTTGAAGCCTTTTGGAGGTATGACTATTGTGTTTGGAGGTGATTTCCGACAGACGTTACCTATCATCACGAAGGGTACACAGACTGAAATTGTTAATTCTTCCATAAAGAGATCTTATTTGTGGCGGTCTATGACAGTATTGAAGCTAACCGAGAACATGCGATTAAAATTGCCTCATTCTGAAGCATCGGCCAGGTTAGCAATCTCAAATTTTAGCAAATGGCTTTTGGAAATTGGTGATGGTACAAATAGTAATATTTTTGGAGAATCAATTATCCCGATACCTCTACACATTTGTGTTTCCCGTCGCAGTGATCCAATTCCTGATATTGTTGCTGAAATATATGGTCAGTTACTCTCCACTGAAAATATGTCAACCTATTTGGTTGAGCGAGCTATCTTAGCCCCTCATAATGACACTGTTGCGGCCATTAACAATTATGTATTGGGTCTATTTCCTGGTGAAGAAGTTTCTTATTTTAGTTCGGATTCGCTAGAGATTGATGCCAATAATCAGCATGTTGAAGAAGGGGACTACACAGTTGAATTCTTGAACTCTTTAAAGATTGGGAATTTTCCAGAACATGAGTTGAAATTGAAGTTGGGGTGCCATGTTATTCTGCTTCGAAATCTGGATCAGAGTACTGGGCTTTGCAATGGAACTCGGATGATCGTTAAGAGATTAGGTAAGTGGTTTATTGAGGTCCAAATTTTGACCGGGACACATGTTGGTGATACAGTTTTCTTACCACGCCTAAGTCTATCGGTCCACTACAAGAGCTTAAATTTCACTCTGGTTCGAAGGCAATATCCAATTGCACTGTCATATGCAATGACAATTAACAAGAGTCAAGGTCAAACATTAAATCACGTTGGCATCTGCTTGCAAAGACAAGTATTTTCTCATGGACAGTTGTATGTTGCTATGTCTCGAGTTACGTCGGAAAGGGGACTCAAGATTCTTAGCTGTGACTCTCAAGGTAAACCGGTGAAGACTATGCAGAACATTGTGTTCATTGAGATTTTTGAGTAGTGGTTTATTGATGTATTATGTTTTATTCGATTTGAGGACTAAGACTGTCAAATTTATCGGGTCGTTACAATTTGAATCTTGAGTTCTCAATTTGTCCAAATTATTTTCCTGTTTTTAACAGCCAATTATATGAAATGTGATTTATGCACACTACTTTATATTTAATTGTACCTCAATTTACTCTACCGAAGGGTATGCGAGTGTGACCGTTATATTGCAATACGAAGAAGAACTTCCATAGTCGCAACTGAACTAAACCAAATTAACACCACAACCCAGCCCACAAAACAACCCAAGCATGGTTCAGTTAAATAAAATATAGTTAGAGAGGGAATGCCCAGCCGGATTTATTGAAACTAAATGGCCAACCTATTCCCATAAAAAAAAGGCCAACCTACACTACCTTGGGCGGATCCTTCTCCACTCCCCCACTCCCCCACCTCCTCTACTGCCCAGTATCCGATTTTTTTGGATCTTCTATGAGGTGAAGGCTGCCGCATTCCAAGCCATTATTTCTTTATTAAATACATTCATTATGATTTTTATTTCATGTTAATTAGTGGTGGTGTGGGCCGGGCCGGCCGGGTTGGCGCATCAAATAATAATTAGCAACTTTGAGAGGCAATTTTGGACAAGAATTGTTGACACAGTCGCAATTAGCAATGTTGTTAAAACGGAACCAGACATCGATCCGGATTAGTAAAGGGTTCAAGGTTTATCAAATAACCGGTGCTTAATCGATATTAAAAACCGATCATAAACCGGTGTCGACTTACTTGGTAGACTTAACAATTATTTTTTTTACAATTATTGTTTCACTTATTAGAGATAAAAGAATAAAGTGAGAATTATTAAAACTGAAAAAGCATAATTTGGGCGGCTGCTAGGTCTTTTTTGGGAAAAGTGAACTGATTTTTCTTCTCTTTATATTTTATTCTGTACTTACCTTCTTTTGTTTTTGAATTTTTAATTGCAACAAAATAAAAGGAAGGCGCATGTTTGATTTTAAGAAGGTGGGTCGTTCTCCTAAAAAAAAAAAAAAAGGTGGGTCGTGAGTTCCGTGACACACCCGCCTCTTGAACTCTAAATGGCCAACCTTCTCCACTCCCCCACGAGGCCACAAATCCTTCTCCACTCCCCCACTATCCCACTTTCCACACACACACGTACTCCACTGCATGCGGCCAAGTAAATCACGTGTGTAGAATCACTTTCTCTCCTTTATATAATGGAGATACCACTTTCTCTCATGTTATAATTTCTGTTTACTACTGCCCATACAAAACACTTCGGTTCCATTGACCGTGCGAATTGCATTCAATATGGCGGGCCTGCCTCAATTCAATCAGTAAGTACTGCTCATGCATCCAACAAATACTACATCATGTAATTTCGATTCTTTTTCACTACTTAATGCCAAAACTTACAGTCCAATATATAGGCTTCCCCATGGTTTTATTGCTAATCTGCAATATGATGATGCTCTTGAAATTTGTGAGCGTGCCGACACCATCGATCTCATTATGTTGCAAGTGGATGTCGAAAATCAGGTAACTAAACAAATAAATTTCTTTTTAATCGTACGCCTTTTGTGGCATGCTGCATTTTATCGATTTGCTTTGACAATATTCGTTTCTGTGTTTACATCAGGGCACCTCTTTTTTGTTATCCGGACGTGTAACGAATTTGACGACGTCCTGGTCCCCTACATCCAGAATCCATTTCGTCCACCTCACAATTGAGGACGAATTCATTGGTGTTGACATCGTCTTCCAGTCATCACAGTTACGAACGATTGTTGAATCTGTATTCAGTCATGCAGATGTTGTCAATGCTGACTATATGTCCCTTCTGAACATGCTTGGAGAACAGACATTTGAAGTCATGGTCACAGTTGGTCCCTGGAACGATGCATTTGGTTATTGTGAACTTGTGTTGGTGAAATTATTTTTGCCTTTGTTGAATTGAGTACCCTGTCATGAACAATGAGACAATGTATTGAGTTTTCTTATTTTGGACTTGCATGTTATTTGTCGTAATACTCAACTAGATTAGTGATGCTCTAAAACACAACACCTAACAATGGCCAAGTGTAACCAATGAAAGGGACTGCAGTATAGTGGCACAAGTAATAAATATCGAATCCACGGGTCTCTAGAGTTACTATTACTCAGCTTCAGTTCATTATCTAGCAAACTAGATTAAGGATTGATTAACTAAACTACTCTACTAACTAAACTAAGTAAAACTACTAATTACAGTTTGGGAACTCACTTAGGTATGATTCCCCCTAGCTCCTCAATTAGGTCCAAGTTGTAATTCCTTTTGGTTGATTTACTGTTGATTAAACTGCGGAAGATCCGACAGTAGCTTGGAATCTCTTAAGCCGACCAAGCCCTCTCAGTCTAACTATCCGGCAGACGACTAGTCTTCACCGGGATAGAAAGCTGAAGCAATAAGCACAGAACTCCACTACTGGAATTGGATTCCAGTACAAAGCAGTAAACTGGCTAACTCTCGTATAGCAACCTAATCACATTCTATCTATCTTAGATTGCAGCAGGAATCAGGAAAAGTTGATCAGACTTCAATTGACTCAATAAACATGCATCATTCGATTATAATCAAACAATATAGCATCCAAAACTTCATACAAGAAAGATCCTAACTCATGGAACTAAGGTTCCTCAAAACCTAAGTGAAGGGAAGTTACTCCATAGAGAAGAGAGAGACTGCAGAAATCTGATCTAGATCTTCAATCTCCATCTCCAAGCTTGATTCCCGAGCTCCAATGGCGAAGAAATCCTCCAAAATAGCTCCAAGAATGTTCCCAAGTCGCTCTCTCTCTCTCTAGGGTTCGTCCCTTGGGTGTTTGGGATCCAAAACCCAGCTCTCCCCCTTTCCTTTTGCTGAAAATCGGGTTTTAAACAGCAATTCCCGACTCACATGGCCAGGCCACACGGCCGTGTGGCTTTCCCAGCTGCCCGTGTGAAGGCTCGGTGATTTCCACACGGCCACATGGCCAGGTCACACGGCCGTGTGGGTTGTGCCCGTGTGCCTTGCTCAGCCTCTGTTTAATGCTTTGTTTCTCCCTCGTCTGGACTCCGAATCAGTCGCCGTTTGATCCCAGACGCTCGTAGTCTCATCCTCTTTCTTTTCATGACAAGCTTGCATGATTCTTTGTCCATAAAGTGAGGTATAAATCCATTCTTCTTCAGGTCATACACGAGTTTCTTCTCCCGAATCGTCAATTGATCTCTGATTGACTTGAAACTTGCGCCTATGCTTCACTTTATGTGCTAGGACGTGAAATGGGACAAAGGAACACAACCTAGCATAAAATAGGCCAAATACTCAATAATTCAAGCTCAAACAATCAAGAAACAAAGGGGAAAACATGTGCATATACCGAGTCATCAAATCCCCCCACACTTAACTGTTTGCTTGTCCCCAAGCAAACCTAACTCAAACCAATGCAGCTCTCCAGAGCTCTATAGCAACATACAACCCCGATCGTCGGTATAGGATTTCCTAGATCATATAGCAGCTTACGAGGTCAACTGGTCTTCTAAGACGTTCCCTATCTCTCTCAATGCGAGTACTAGACTCAAGCCAGGATCATGAGAAGAAGTAGAAGTAAGACAGTCAGTTCATGGATAAAAGGACTCACACCATTCACAACCAAGGACTCGTTGTGCCGGGGTTCTCTTTCACTTCATTTCACCGTTGGAACCCCTTTTTCACTTTCATTTTACTTACTTTCCCCCCCCCCTTTTTATTCACTTGGAGGGGGTTCCAACTGCAGTCTTTTGCACGGTCGACCCTTATTAGTCGAGCAAGAGCAATTTTTGTACACCTGGCGCTCGCCAGAGTACTTCTTTTAACTCCTTTTCCTCAACTCGTGTGGAGGGTCAATGAAATTAAGGGGGGTCGGAAGCTCTATCCGTGCCCTTAAAAACACATCCTCAAGTAGGCAAACCGTTCAACGGGTGGAAGTTTAACTTGTACTAGAGACAGCTTAGCTTCACCTTGTAGGAGTACCCCACTAAGGATCACTAAAATCTCTTCCAAAACCCGATTTGGTGCAATGAACGGTGCCGCACACGTTGGGCTTACCCCATGTTTAAGATTTTATGATTTTGACATGGAGGACCAACTGCTTTTCATTTTTCACATGAGCACCCTGTTCGATACACAAGTCCATAACACAATCCAAACATAGTCAGCATTACCACATGAATTCAACGGTCTTAGCTCCACTAATTCACAAAATCAACTAGCACAGCAGAGAGCTAGATAGGAAAAATCTTATACTTCAAGATCCTCCATAGTGCTACACTACCTCCCTAGGTTGCACATTAATATAGAGACTGTCAATTCAAAGCATACTGAGCAGGCAATTTGCAAGGAAACACGTACTTGGAGCCCTCAAATTTAAAAATTTGGACAGTGGACTAGGCTCCAAGCACACAAACAGCCAAACATTCACCCGCATACATAATCGAACACCCCCCCACACTTAAGCACGACATTGTCCTCAATGGAGGAAAGATAAGGTGGGTAGAACGAAGTTACCAGATCCAGGGTGAATGATGGTGGACGGGGCAGGCGGTGTATTCCAGGAGGAGAGAGTGGTCAGACCACAAACACCACACAAAATCTCACAAAGGTTGAGTTATTGACTCTAAAATCAAATAACAAAACTGACTCAACCGAGGAGAAATAGAGAAAGAAATGCAAACCGAATGGTTGGGTTGCCTCCCAACAAGCGCTTCTTTCACGTCGTGAGCCGGACGATGGCTCCTAAGTTTCGGTCCATGCTAGAACCTCCTTGAAGTTGAGGTTCTCGTCGATGAGGTGGAGTCTCAAGTCACGAGCATGTGGTGTGGCAGGTGATGAAGGCTCATGTACTTGATGCAGATGAAGTCTCCATCCTCGAGACCTCTTATTCTCTTCTCTCGTCTCATTGCCCCAAACCAGATACGACAGCATCGATTGGCCACCATCGCGTCCACCAAGAGGGACCGATGTTGATGTGGCCTTGGTCTGGCAAAGAGACACTGCAAATGGGTCCTTGCTAAGCAGTTCCTCAAAGTTTGGTGGGGATATCACTTGCAACTCACGGCCGGTGCAGGCCTCTTCCACCTTAACTCCGTTCTCAGCCTGGACGCCAATTGCTTTTTCAACCCCCCTTTCTTCTTCATGTGGTACCACCCCTGGGAAATGATCAACAACTCCTCCTGCTTCACTTTCGTCATCCTCCACAACTTCTCTCTGCACCCTTTCTTGCTCTTCTTCTTCTAGCACAGATTGGAGAGCAAGTCGCCATGTAATTTCTTCAATGAGATCATCTTGCATCTCCTCGCTCGCGCCCGACATGTTAGAGCAGAAATAAGGAATTGTGTGATCTGCAACCAGAGGACTTTCCTGATCATGATTATCATGGGAGTTCTCTGTGATAACTTCTGTATGCTCCTCAACATCCCCATAGCCTTTGTCATCCTCCACCTCTTCTAGCGTGGTAGCAGAAAGGTGATCTTGAGCAAGATGTGAGCAAACTTGCTCCACCCACTCTGTTTGCTTCGCTGAGCGCTGAACAGTCTCCTCCATATCATGGAGAAATGAGGGATCGGAAGCAGCAAGGGCTTTGATTTGAAGATCCATCTTGGAGCATGATCTCTCAGTGTCTCGAGCAAACTGCTCCACGAGAAGCCTTAATTGTTTGTTCGGATCTTCCAGTGAAGTGTAGCATGGCTCTGCAGAGTGGCCCGTGAAGGCCGCCATGGGTAACTCCAGCTCCGATGGCCCTTCTGGTTGTGGGAGAAAGTCTTCTTGGTAATGAGGTTGTTCTTGATATGCCCAGGGGTCTGGTTGTTCTCCGTAGAAAGGGGGTTGGTACTGGAACCCGAATCCATAGTCTTCTCCTCCTTGATTGCTCCAGGGGGTCTCGGGGTAATACCACTCGGATGGTGGTGGATACCCCCACTGGTTGGAGAAGCCATGCGGATCCATGATTCAGATCTGCACCAACAAAAACAAAAAACACCCAAGTGAAAAGCAAGGGTGGAAAAGAAAAGAAAAACGCTAAATTAACAAACTTCTGCCTTTCCTAATAATCTAGAAAGTCCCCGGCAACGGCGCCAAAAACTTGATGCTCTAAAACACAACACCTAACAATGGCCAAGTGTAACCAATGAAAGGGACTGCAGTATAGTGGCACAAGTAATAAATATCGAATCCACGGGTCTCTAGAGTTACTATTACTCAGCTTCAGTTCATTATCTAGCAAACTAGATTAAGGATTGATTAACTAAACTACTCTACTAACTAAACTAAGTAAAACTACTAATTACAGTTTGGGAACTCACTTAGGTATGATTCCCCCTAGCTCCTCAATTAGGTCCAAGTTGTAATTCCTTTTGGTTGATTTACTGTTGATTAAACTGCGGAAGATCCGACAGTAGCTTGGAATCTCTTAAGCTGACCAAGCCCTCTCAGTCTAACTATCCGGCAGACGACTAGTCTTCACCGGGATAGAAAGCTGAAGCAATAAGCACAGAACTCCACTACTGGAATTGGATTCCAGTACAAAGCAGTAAACTGGCTAACTCTCGTATAGCCAATCTCCTACTACCGAATGATGAGACTCTAGCAACCTAATCACATTCTATCTATCTTAGATTGCAGCAGGAATCAGGAAAAGTTGATCAGACTTCAATTGACTCAATAAACATGCATCATTCGATTATAATCAAACAATATAGCATCCAAAACTTCATACAAGAAAGATCCTAACTCATGGAACTAAGGTTCCTCAAAACCTAAGTGAAGGGAAGTTACTCCATAGAGAAAAGAGAGACTGCAGAAATCTGATCTAGATCTTCAATCTCCATCTCCAAGCTTGATTCCCGAGCTCCAATGGCGAAGAAATCCTCCAAAATAGCTCCAAGAATGTTCCCAAGTCGCTCTCTCTCTCTAGGGTTCGTCCATTGGGTGTTTGGGATCCAAAACCCAGCTCTCCCCCTTTCCTTTTGCTGAAAATCGGGTTTTAAACAGCAATTCCCGACTCACACGGCCAGGCCACACGGCCGTGTGGCTTTCCCAGCTGCCCGTGTGAAGGCTCGGTGATTTCCACACGGCCACATGGCCAGGTCACACGGCCGTGTGGGTTGTGCCCGTGTGCCTTGCTCAGCCTCTGTTTAATGCTTTGTTTCTCCCTCGTCTGGACTCCGAATCAGTCGCCGTTTGATCCCAGACGCTCGTCGTCTCATCCTCTTTCTTTTCATGACAAGCTTGCATGATTCTTTGTCCATAAAGTGAGGTATAAATCCATTCTTCTTCAGGTCATACCCGAGTTTCTTCTCCCGAATCGTCAATTGATCTCTGATTGACTTGAAACTTGCGCCTATGCTTCACTTTATGTGCTAGGACCTGAAATGGGACAAAGGAACCCAACCTAGCATAAAATAGGCCAAATACTCAATAATTCAAGCTCAAACAATCAAGAAACAAAGGGGAAAACATGTGCATATACCGAGTCATCAATTAGATTTGTGATTAGTAAAATTTCATGTAAGTATTTTTATTGTGATTAGCTAATCTTCAAATGTATTTCTAACTTATTATGAATGTTCATTCATATTACATGTTCGTCTTCAACGAATTGCAAAATTGCAACAATCTTATGATAATATAAAACAAGACTCATTTCTCGACACTATCATTATAGATATTGTAACTCCATTTCCTTAAACAAATGCGGCCAACGGGCCGGGCTATAGGCTAGTACATTTTAAAGAGTTTGATTTGCTCCATTTCAAATTTCCTTCAATGAGAATGAAAGTAGGAAGGGTATTTTTGTCTACACAATCAATTTTTTATATCATATAAAAAGATATAAATGCTAGGATTTGAACCATGTTCTCCTCCACCAAAGACAAGAATTGTAACCAATTAGACTAGACACATTTGTTGAATTTTATTAATACAAAACATATAGGAAATTAAAATTATGAAAACCAAAATACTTTTCTATCATGGTTAGTTACCCGCTGAGTCTCCTGTAAGTATTTTGTGGTGTTTGATACTTCTATTTTCATATTTTAATAATTAATTTAGAATTTTTTCTAACTTATAAATGAAGGATAATCTTAAAATCTCAACATAAATATCATTGGTTGGAATATTGCGCATTGAATTGAAGTGTTGAATGAAGTGTTCAATGACGACATAAGAACACTGGTACCATACATTTCAAGAAAAATAAACATGACAAACACCGATACCAATTATCTCGACAGTCTCTGCTAAAATTCGAAATTGTTTAATCATTCAATTTGAATGATAGTTTAGTCAAATCAAGCAAATAATTCACGATTGTGTGTGAAAAAAAAATAAAAATATATGTATTGTATTATGAAAAATGTATTTATTTTAACAATCTAAAAAAAAATCAAAACTTCCATACAACCCCTTATTTCATTAATGTAATTAATGAAAGAATTTTTATCAGCATGATGCAATGTTCAAGTTAAGGTCCAAGTATTAATCACCAGTATATAGTATTCATCATATATAGTTAACTATTTCAATATCCACAGCTAACTATTAATGGTTACTTGCTTTCTCTTAGAGAGTTTAATGTAGCACTCTCATGCCTAGCTATGCTCTAAGCATTTGTTTTCTTTTTCACAATATCATTTGCAGTTATTTATTAAATAAACTTTGTTTCTAGCTTTCAATTCCAAATTATTCACTTCTTCATACCAACTTATGGGAATGCTAAATATATTTTTCATGTCTAATCTATTAAACATAAATGTTGCTTATCACTTAAATTCAATGGTATCCATGTTAGGTTTGATGTCACCAACATATTCTCCCAATTTCTCCAAAAAGCATAATATCGTGCGATTGATATCATAGTTTCGTTATGTAAAGTTCAACAAACTCAATCAATATTCGAACTCTTCGAAATAGCTATCTACATGTGAATATGAAGTACTGAGTAGCTAAAACTCTACTTGAGTTAGTACAATCTTTTGCGCTATTGATTCAAAATTCAATACATTATTATCTTATTACAATTTAGTCATACTAATTGTGCAGTAGAGGACATCTTATCAAAATCTTAAAGAAAGACTCTTTGATTGATCGCTTTCATGATGTAATCAATTATACCAAAATAGAAGTGATCAAATTTATAAGATGCACTCAAAGTTTGCTATAATTATTGAGGTTCAGCAGCACGTTAGGTGTACGACGCTCATTAGGCATTTGTCTATCTCCTAGCTCGCCTAGTCATGCTCAAACATTATAATAAAAATAGCAATTTTAATAATAATGAATAAAATAACGATTCTGAAGCACTTTCATACTTTAGTTTAAATGATTATACAATAAACGAAATAACTCTCAAATTTATAAATTATTTTCTTTTACAAATGATATAATTAATTCATTCATGAGCTGAAATAGCTAATTATAAGCACTTCAAATTTAAGTTAAACTCTATATGATGCAATTGTTTGACGAAATGGGTTTTATAATAGAGTGGTTCTATCGAGAGAGGTCTCTAAGAAACATGGTTTACTTTATTATTCCTTAGGTGGGTAGAATATCTATCTTCATCGTTACTTTTACATTGGATTCAATTTAGGATAATTTTTCATTTAGATAGATTTTTTTGTGATGTTCTGGGATATAATATAACATTATGTATGATGGTGTAGGATATTAATTCCTCTTATTTTAGGTTCAAATTGATGCATTTTCCCCTTTACCATTCCCTTTTATTGGTTAATAATTTTTATGATATTTTTCACTTTGAAATATCGTGAGCAGAATCTATACACAACAATTTGTGTTTTTTTGCTTCCTCTTCTCTTGGTTAGATATTGTGTCCATATTGATTCCTATATTGATTATCGAATTACTACTTTTTTTTTCTTTTTTCTTATGCAAGATATGATTTTATGTTTGATAATCTAGATTTATTTTTCAAGCATGTGGATGCTTGAGACTTTTCATTTTCCTCATAACATACATTTTACAATGCTCCAAACTTGGATGGGTCTCTATTCAACACATAAATTTTTAATGATGTAAAATTTATGAAACTAAGATGCATATTAATAAACAATGTAAGATCTCATATTCCCTCTTAATCACTACATATCATTGTTTACTTACCATTAAATCAAAGTCTTTCTAACTTGAGTAAGAGCTACAATGACTTTTATTAACTTTCACTACTCATATATCACAAGTGTTCAAATCATTATCAAGTGTTCATACAATGACTTTTATTGTTGTGGATTTCCCCCATACTGTTTGGTATGATGCTTTTAGTTTTTGCCTTCTTTTCGCTTTGATTTAGCTTTTTATGTGTTGCTCTATTAGTTGAACTTGCTAGCCGGAGATCTACATGCTTTGTTTCATTATGTCATTGAATACACTAAAGTCAACAGAACCATGACTGTGTGAGTTAGTTTGTTTCTTTTTAAGGAAACTCTAAACATATACTTTGTTTGAAAATATGTATTTATGTTAGTGTAGTTGGACGTTGTTTGTCATTTTTTAAACTTCATTAGTCAAATACATTAAATACTTTCCTATATTATTCATGGACAACTTACCAAATTAAATAGTTACTTCAATCGCCAACAACATGAACCATACAAAAATATATACCTCAATGTTTACTACACATATTACATATACATGAAAATCAAACTCTCCCGGCCAAGAGGCCGGGCCCTAATCTAGTTGGATCTTATACCACTCTCTAACACGCCCCCTCAAAAGAAAGCAACCCATGGTCTTGAAGTTTGCACAGGCGATCACCACACCTTGTGCTTTAATCAACTATTAATATTGAGGGTCGTGGAGATTCGAACATATGACCACTTGACCAAACAAACTATGATACCATGTCATAAACCAGTTGATCTCAATAACTCGAGTTGTTGGGATAATGTTATATTGGATCTTATACCACTCTCTAATATTTTATCACATGAAAAGTTATGTTTTCCTTGTTCAATCTAGCACATTTTATGCATTTGATCAACTAGCCGTTCCACTTTAAATCTTCTAACTTTATTCGAGTTGTTAGTTATTACAAAAAAAAAATGAATATATTAATCAATTTTAATAATATAATATCGCGCTCTCCCCACACTCTCCCCAAACTCTCAATATTGAGTTCTTAAAAAATTAATGCTTTCACGCTCTCGCTTCGCAAATCGGTGTACCTAAGTCTGAATGCACATTTTACTATGATATTTTATTTTTGTATTTCAAATAATTTCATATAGGTATTATTCTTATGTTAAAGTATTAAAATTATAAATTTTATTCTCGTATAATGGATTGAATTTCCATTCAACCATACCCAAAACTGTGACTCAAGAAAAGGGTCTTGAAATTAATGGGTCGGTTTGAATTTACCTTAATTCAACTTCTAACTCATTGGTTGGCGGGTTATCTACAATGAGATAGAGGTCGAATATTCCACCCCTACACACACACACAAACACAAAATTAAGCATGAAATTGTCCTCGATGATGGAAGAATAGAGGTGGAATGAAGTTACCGAATCATGGCGAGTGAAAAGTCAAACTAGTGAGTGAACCATTAGGGGGGGGGGGGGGAGTTATCGCAATGAGCAAACACACACACCCCCACACAAAAAAAGAGAAAAATAAATAAAGAAACACAAACCTTCTAATACGAGCACAGTTGTGCTTGTTGGAACCAAAGTATGCAGCTCAAACCAAATTGAACAAACTTAATACGAAATACAGACCAAAGGTGCAACTTCGCACTTGGGAAGAGGCTCGATTCGTTTAAGTCAAAGCTCTGTCACGATTGATGCGATTTCAATCGATAGGAAGCAATCACAAAGCTGGAACTCAACCAACAACGCAAGGTTTGGGTGGCAAAGTCACGATTTTCATTCAATCAAAACTCCCTTCTTATACGAGGCTTCAAAACCTTTAAATAGACAAAGAACAACCTAATTAGACTTCTAAACAAGCAAGGATTCAAATCTAACTCTACTCTAACAAGGAAACAGAAATCCAAACTCAAAAGGAAATAAAACTCGGTTTCTTTAACCTCAAGATCCTGCCTTCCTGCGCAAGCAATCCATTCCAGCCTTCCTGCCACTTTAAGGCTCCCGATCGAGGCCTTCCAGAGGGATTCGATCCAAACAGTCTTCAGACGTTTCTTCCCCAGGTTTTGAAATTCAAGTTCCAGATCACCTCTTCCATCGACAATGTTCCATCTACTTCGAATAAGCTACCAAAGGTGGTAACTCAAACCGATTCCGGACTTGGCCAAAATCAGGCAGATTTCCAGTTTCAACATAGCACTTGAGGCATTGGGAAAGTGTCTTCAAAGGATCGTTCTTGCTCAACCAGGACTTCAATCATGTAGACAAACACTTGATCTTCAGATCCCAACCCTTCCCTTGTATTTCCATCGACCATGATGTAAGATATAAACCGACAAAGTAGGCACCATGAAACTGTCCGAACACTTAACCAAATTCTTCCATCTTTCCTCCCAACATTGATATATCCTTTGGCAAGCATTCCAACCTTAACCAAGGGGTAAATTGGGATCATAGCACATACGTTGGGTTGCCTCCCAACAAGCGCTTTGTTTTACGTCTATATCTAGACAATGTCGGATCTCATGCTTTAGAACATGATGACTCTGAGAGAGGATCCGCTACATTCTCACGGCAAGGCTTGTCGCCTCTAACATCCTTTTTCAAAGGGTGACCTTTGAAGCTCGTCATCTTTTGTTTGCCAATATTTTTGGATCAGGGCAACAAAAGGCGTTTCAGCTCCGACCTCCATTCCTTCTTGGCCTATACTTTTGGTGTCTCGCAGATGATCCTTTATTTATAGTGTTTTCACTATCATTTTTTTATAAATTTACCCCTTCTATAAACAATGAGATGGATATTAAATAATATATCATAATTAGGGATGTTAAATTATTAGAACCGAGTCGCGCTTTTCATAGTTCAGGTTTGCCTCGTTAAAATAATTTCAATCTCGAGTTCTATACAAGTGGTTATATCCAGCTAAGCAAAACGTAAAATTTTCACAATTCATTTATTCAAAGTTAAAGTTCTCATTGTTTTAATTTCAATGTCAGAAAAAAGAAAAACAAAATAAATGGTTAACATGGGAAAGACAAGGTGTGAAAATATATATATAAAAAATTGTTAGGCTAGGGAATATAAGATCATCTCCAATGTGAGGTAAAAACTAAAAAACATCCTCTCCAACAATGGCTAAAAAAGCCAGTAAGTGCAAATAATGCAAAATTTATGGCCAAATTTGGCTGAGATAAGACAAAAATACTAAAATCCCGCCCCCACACAAACCAGACAAAGGAGCGTGCGAGGCACTCCCTCCTCACTCCACAGGTTTATTTGTATATGTTGTTTTCAATTTAGTAAAAGAAATTGCATATCATCCCCTAAAGTCCTCCCCGACGGTTCTTTCAGCTCCCCAACAACTTTATTTTCAAGTTTCTCTATAAATAAGTAATATTTCTTCAGTTTGACTTCATCACTTCCAAAAAATGATTCTCTCTTTATCTTCACAAATAATAATCATCTTCTTCCCATAAAATAAAAAATCCTCTCCTCTCCTTCTCAAGACCTTCATCATGTCTAAAACTAATCATCCTTCGAATTGAACAAAGCCTGAAGATGAAATTCTATGCAAGGCTTGAATTGAAATTTCAGAGGACGGTTCCGTCGGCCTTTATCAATTTACTGTTGAATTTTGAAGCAGAGTTGGAGTCGTGTTTGCTGATTAAGGATGGGGGATCTCACGTATTGACACTTTTGACTAATCGATATTATAACACCTAAATTTGTGTTACTTAACCCTCATATGAAGGTTTGTTTCGTGCCAATTCATGTGCATAATTGCTTGAATATCGTCGATTGCATCCCTATTTCGTTCCTATGTGAATTCGATGTGATTTTAGGGTGTATGAGACGATATATGTGAATTAGGTACAAAACAAGGTCACAAGTGTAGCAAGGGGGGATGAAGCTGAAGATCGTGGCCAGGAAGCTGAAGATCACGGTCAGAAACATAGACCGTGAACTCAAGATGAAGATCGCGTCCGCGAATTGGAGGGCTTAGGGCGCGAACTTCGCGAGGAAAGAGTCAGGGATAAACAAAGACTTTCCCTATTCAAATCACGACCACAACATTATTTGAGTGTGAGGAAGATCTCGATCGCGACTCGTGGATTGCAAAGTCAGCCCGCGATCTCCTCATTTCCGAAAGCCAGGACGACGACATTCCAAGATCACGACCTCAATTCTATAGATCACGACCGCGATCACTGTGGTTCTGGCTGCAAACTTTCTCGTACCCAGATTGCCTATAAATAGAAGACCTCTTTCCCTCTTTAGAGTTGATTTTGGAGAGAAATTTTTGGTTTGAGAGAGAGAAGAGAGAGAAGCGAAAGGAAGGAGAATGAGCTAGAAGAGAGGGAGCATCTTCCTCAACCCAAGTATTCTTCAATTTCTTCTATGTTTCTTCTTCACTCCTTTATGGAGTAGTCCTCTAATGTACTAGGGTTAGGGTTTATTATGTATGTATGAATATTTTAGGGTTTGATGAATGAATGTGTTTATCTTATTGATTTTATTGCTATTCCATCCTTGATTGTCTTTGGGTAAGTCACCCTAATCTTCTCTATTAGCCTACTTTTTGCTTCTACGCTGGGTATGGAGTTCTAGGGTTAGACAGGCATGCATCATCCAACAAATTGAGATAGATGTATGAATAGGGACCTATGGTGGTCGAGGCGACCAAACCCCTGCCGTAGGTTAGCCTTCCTAGATAGAACCATAGATGAAAGCTCGATGTGGAAAGTGGATATTATCCATTGAGAGGAGCTACGAGCTTAATGCCCCACATACAATAGCCTATATCGAGATGACTTTATATGGGTTTAGGGGAGGCGTACTTGGAGGCGTGTGGATAACCACAAAAGCCCACAAAAAATAGCTCACTCACCACATACGATAACCCTAAGCATTTATGCATGCATAGTAACCCTAAGCTAGGGTGAGGATTAGTTACCCGAAATACCTGCGTTTAGCTTTGATCAATCTCTAGTCTAGTTATCTCCTCAAGTCCTCCACTCAAACCTCCAAAACTAATTAACTAATTAAAAACAAGGCGGGAAGTAGGCTAGGGTAGCAGGACCCGAGTAAAATACGACATTGATTACCACTATACGACAATGCCATCTTAGGTTAAACTTGGCGTCAGATGGGATAGTTGTTGACACGTGCAAACCATTGACAATAATGTGCACGGATTGAAGTGATCAAGCTTTTTGGCACCGTTGCCGGGGAACCTTGGTAACTAGTAGCAAACCATTAATTTGTTAGTTAATCTTTATCTTGTTTGGTTTGTTTGTTTTATCGTGCGTTCTTGTTTGTGTTTTTTTTATTTTCTGCGTTTGTTTCTTTTTGTATTTTCTTTTTGTTATTTTCCGTGTTTGATTGTCAAGGGTTCGGATTTTTTTACCAACCTCCCTTCCAAGAAGAAGAATCATACCAATAGGTATATGAAGAGGCTTCCCCATTCCAAGAAGATTTCCTTCCACAACCGAAGCCAAGAAGCGAACTGGAACTCTTGGTGGAGCGGTTTGCCAGGGGTTCCAATGGGGCATCCTCAAGTGTGGAACAAACTTGCTACACTCCATAATCATCGATGAGTCAATTGGAGCTCATGCGGTGAAGCGGTTTGTCCGGATACCTAAGCGAGTTCCAATGTGGTCAACCACCACTCCTAGCTACTAATCTTTTCTACGCACAACAGATGAGTTCCTCCAAAAAATGGAGAGACTATGAGAGATTTCAGAGCAAGCATGTGGATGACTTGTTCACAATCATCTCCTACCATTTTAATAAAAAGGAAAGGATGTCGAAGAGGCGAGAAAGAAGGTTGTGGAAGAGGAAGTGAGCATCAAAGAAGAGAAAGATCTTGAACGTTCCCAAGTGGTGGAACGAATTGAAGAAAAGAGAAGGGAGGTTGAAGAAGCAAATGGTGCCCATGATGAGGACAAGATCGTTGTGGATGAAGCTTCAACAAGTTACAAGTGCTATCAAAGCTTTCCACCCGACCTCGATGCACTTTTGGAGAAGGACCCATTTGCGGCTCTTGTCCAAGCCAAGGCCAAACCATCAACGATCCCTCTTGGTGGATGCAATGAAAGTCAATTAAGTGTGCATTACATGGCATGGGGCAAAGAGAAAAAGGATGAAGGAAAGATGACGAGATCTGGTGGGTGGAGCCTCATGATAATTGAATTTCACGAGCCCTCAATCATGGACTCGTCCAATGCTCGTGACTTGATACACCACCTCACTAGCAAGAACCTCAACTTGGAGTTTCTAAGATGGAAAGAATACTTGAAGAATATCGCCCGAGGATAAGACTTAAAAGATGCACTAGTTGGGAGGTACCCCAACAACCAGTTTGCATTTTCTTAGCGTTTTCAAAATAAACTTGCATGATTTATCTTGCTTTAGATAGTTTATACACTGGGTAAGTCGCACCAATCTTCTTTATTAGCCTACTTTATGCTTCTACACTGGGTATGGAGTTCTAGGGTTCGACGGGTATGCGCCATCAAGTTAATTGAGATAGATGTATGAATAGGGACCTATGGTGGTCGAGGCGACCAAACCTCTGTCATAGGTTATCCTTTCTAGATATAAATCGGGATGAAACCTCGGTGTGGACGGTAGATAGTATCCATTGAGAGGAGCTACGAGCTTAATGGCCCAGATACGATAACCTAGATCAAGGTAACTTTATATGGATTTACATGAGGCATACTCGGAGGCGTGTGGATAACTACGAAAGTCCACGGAAAAAGAGCTCACTCACCACATTCGATAACCCTAAGTATTTATGCAAGCATAGTAACCCTAAGCTAGGGGGAGGATTAGTTCCCCGAAGTACCTACTTTTAGCTTTGATCAATCTCTAGTCTAGTTATCTCCCAAGTCCTCCACTCAAACCTCCAAAACTGATTAACTTATTACCACTATACAACAATGCCATTTTAGGTTAAACTTAGCTTATGATGGGGTAGTTTTTGAGATGTGTTACCCATTCACAATAATCTGCATGGATTGAAGTGATCAATGGAATAAAATCTTCCATCAATGTGGATTGTGGGATTTGGAATCGAGGAGTGCAAGCAAGACACCAACGAGCAAAGAGAAACTCAGTGATGTGGTTAGTGAATTTACTATTTCTGAGGTCCTGAAGTTCAGAGTTAAAGAAATGGAAATGTCTTTCACACATGGTCGTTAGAACTATGAAGATTGGGGTGGATTTATCCCATATGATAAACCTCGGAATCTAGGGTGTGAAATATACGGGAATTAGGGGATTTAGGTTAGATCAATTAGTGATTGATCTAGGGTTTGAGGCTGGAAGAAGGAGAGTTGAGAGAGAGAGAGAAGGTTCAGCCGAAGCCTTGAGAAGAAAGAACGAGGGTTCGGCTAGAGAGAGGAAAAGAGTGAGGCGTTAGATATGGGAAGAAAACCATAATCCGCACCTCACCGCATCGGATGGCTGCATTGAATGCGCTGTGGTCCACGTCAGCAATCCGCGACCATTGGATGCAGTGAGGCACGGATTCAGGTTTCCCTCCCAGATGTGACGCCTCACAACGTCCCACGTCAACAATCCGCGCACATCACCATCTTCGACGAACGTTGTTTCTTTCCAGCGGTCTACTCCTCCTATAAATTCAGCCCTCCCCTCCCCATTCAAGCCACACCACTACACTTCACAATTCTTTCTCCCTCCCTCCCTCCCTCCCTCCACTCTAGGAAATCCGTTTATGGTCCGTGGTTGCGGTTAAGGCCGATCCTCCATAACATTATAAATTCTTTGAGTTATTTCCAACAACCATCCCCTCTAAAAACCCGCCAAACCTTTGTCCGAATTCCGGCAAAAATGGACGAAGAGGCTCTTAGGGTAAGTACTTGCTTTTCCTTGGGATTTATTTTTTTAATAGAAATAATCTGATTACATTCAAAAAGTTTATAGATGGCTGTCAAGATATACGGTTCTCGATTGTATATCAATCCTGGGCCAAGTAATGCAAAGTATTTAACCGAGCAAGCAACACATCGCTACCGTGCAATTTGGCACAACAATCCGCCGGTAGACACTCCATACCGTATAAATTTGTTAATTATTTTAGTATTTTAAAAGTTTTTATTTTACTTTCCTTTGACTAACAACTTAGTGTATTTTGCATTTTTTTTTGTAGGAATCACTCCTTCCCATCACTCATAGAAGGACAACACGTTTGCCCATTTGGCATGTCGACTCTCGCCGTATCTAGAGAGAATGGGTTTGGATATGGTAAGGCACTTGATAGACCATTGATTGCACATGTTTTTACCTCCATTCTTGAGCCGTTTGAGAGTCGATTCTCATGTTTTAAGCCGATTTCACGCTAGGTTGTGTGCTTATGTCATATTTCAGGACTTGGCATTGACATGAAGGCGAAGAAACGAGTTTCGGTTAAAAAAGGAGGACACCGGAGTTAAGGGCTGCTGGAAAAGAAAATACCCGGCCAGGAGTTAAAATACCCGGCCGGGTAAAATGCAAAGAGAGGTTGGGGATTTCATGTTTTGGACGCCAGAGTTCCAGAAGGGGTCCCAGCCGAATGGCTAAAATACCCGATCGGGTATTCTGAACCTTGATCGGGTATTTCCCTTTTCCCCACTGCGCAGCATTTAAAAATACCCAGCCGCACACCTGAAATAACCGACTGGGTATTATGGCCGGGGATCGCGACCTGCTGATTTTTAAGGGAAAGAAGACCAATTTTTGAGGGTTCCAAGTTTTAGAGATAGAAAGCTGATATCTAAAGAGAGAGAGTAACGAACCATATTCTCCAAGCGCTCTAGATCGATCTTCATCACCATTGGAGCTCAGCTTAAGCTTGGAGAAGTGCCGATTGATTGCCAGAAGCAGAATCCCATCCTTCACAACATGGTTTCCGCATCTGAGCTAGATTTTCCTTCTCTCTATGGAGTAAACTCTCTTACTCACCTGGGTATGAAGAACCCTTGGTTTGTATGTTAGGTCTAATTGTATGAACCCAAGTACGAATTCATTGATGTTGATTATATTCAATTGAGGTTTGATTTCCTGAATGGAATGAATCTTGATCAAATTCCTGTTATTTCTGCTTTGATCTAGAAAGAGAATATATGCTTAGGTTGATAGAGCACCCTTGATTGAAGGTAGTGAATTGACGACTTTAGTAGAGGAGTCAATTCACTATTCTATATCGGATTTACTGCGGTAGAGGAGGTTTGGTTCGTTAGGGCCTTGAGACCTTTAGTCGAGACTGCAGACTTTTTAAGAACCTCCCGCGGTATAACTATTATTGAACTTGAACTTGGTAAATTACAACCTGGCTTAACTGCAGTCTAGTGGGAACCATATCTGGGTGACCTCTCTCAACTTCAAACTCAACTTTCACTGCTTTTGCTTGCTATTTAGTTAAACCTTCACTATACTTGAATCTCTAAATAAGATTTTCACGGAGTAGTCATCACGCCTAGTAGGTGGTTACACTTGGCCACTTTCTAGTGTGACGGTAGAGGCGTGTCAAGTTTTTGGCGCCGTTGCCGGGGACGACTAGGTTGTTGAAGAAACTTGATTTCTGTTACTTTAGCATTTATTTTCTGCATTGATTGTTTGCTTTTTCCCACTTGTGCCTTCACGGGTTTGCTTGCGTGGCTGTGTATAGGTAGTGCATGACCCGTAGCCAGTCGGGAGGTTTACTAGCGTTAGATCCGGAGCTAGAACGCACCTATCGCAAAATAAGGAGACAACAGCGAGCAAGACTGGCTAAGGAGGAAGTGCACCTCGACGGCCATCTGAGCAGCCACTCCGAAGAGGAATACGAGATGGGCGACGAGCACAACAAGGGGAATCTTAACATGGGGCGGAATCAACCCCTCGGGATGCCCATGTCGGTTCCCCTAGTGAACCAGATCCTGGGGAACAACCCAGTCCCCCCAGACAGATGGGGCTCAACATCCACCATCCCCGCCGAGTCCTACTATGGTGTACTACTACACTCCACGAGTCGCCGACATCCGACCCGTCATCCTGTATCCTCCCATTCTAGCAAACAACTTTGAGATCAAGCCATGTTGGATTCAACTGATTACATCCTCTATCCAATTCCATGGCTTGAAGGATGAGGAGGCGATTGTGCACCTTTCCCGGTTCCTGCAGCTGACAAATTGATTCAAAATGAATGGTGTACCTGATAAAGCAATCCGTCTCCACCTTTTCCCCCATTCTCAGGCGGGGCATGCGAAGAGGCGGTTAGAGACCCAGCCCCCACTATCCATTCGAAGACCATGGAGATTCAGCGGGAGATCACTCATATCCTCCAGGAGCCAGATGAATCACTACGTGATGCCTAGGAGCGGTACTCGGGATTCTTCTGGCAGTGTCCCCATCATGGGTTCAGTGATGCATTCACAGTGGGGAATTTCTACAGCGCTCTGACCGCAAAGAGCTAGAGGGTGATCAAGTCTCTATGCCCAGGAGGGGATATTCTCACCAAGACTCCACCCAAGCTGAATCAGATGATCAGTATTCTGGCTGCTAGGGATCATTCTTGGGGGCAGAGCACCAAAAGCAGGATTTCTCAGGACTGAGGTGTGCATGCCATGGAGGTTAGGTCCGGGCTAGAGTGGCACTTGGTCGAGTTGGTCCAGACACTGAAGCAGCCCAATAGTCTTATTCCGGGCAGAGGGCTGGCCGGGCCTTCAGTTGCACAATGTCAGTGGTGTGAGAGTTCGAACCATTTGGTGGAAGACTGCCAGGCTATGCGGGAGTCTTCTACACCCCAGGAGCAGTTAGAATTCATCGCCAATGCTCGGCGCCTTGATCCTTACAGTGGAACATATAATGAAGGGTGGCGCCAGCATCCCAACTTCTCCTGGAATGCCAATAATAGCAACACCGCTAAACCACCTGGTTTCCCACCACCAGCAGGTGGTTTTCAGCAGAGGTATTCCTTCCAGGCCAGGCAGGGTCCGGTTCCACAGCAGCAGCCTTACCATACCAGGCAGGGGCAGCCATTCCAGCAGTCGCAGCGCTAGTATGCCCAGCTGCTAGTAGCTCTAGCTCTAGATACCCAGATGACGGAGCTGAAAACATTTTGCAGGCATTCATGACTACCTGCCAGGAGAATTTCGCCAGGATGGACCAGAACATAACCTCACTGGAGGCAGGCCATAGGAACTAGGGTGCTATATTGCATGATCTCCAGAATCAGATTGGTGGCATAGCTCGCCAAAATAACAATAGAGCACTAGGGACTCTGCCTGCCACCACCATTCCAAATCCTTGCGAGCCTCACCAGCAGCTGGATGCCATCACTACCAAGAGTGGCAAGACAACATCTGCTGCTTCTGCCTCGGCCAGGCAAGAAGAGCCACTACCTGCTTTAGCACTTCCAGTTGACGATGCAGAATTGGGGATGGAGAAAGAAGCACCTGCTCCCAAGCCACAACCAGTGGTTAAGGATCATGTACCCCAGCTTCCCTTCCCCACTCGCCTACATAAAGACAAGCTAGAGACTGAGTTTGCCAAGTTCATGGCAATGTTGAAGCAGGTCAACATCAGCATGCAGTTCGTGGAGGCACTGTCAAAGATGCCCAAGTACGCCAAATTCATGAAGGATCTCCTCACCATCAAAAAGAAACTTGGGGATCTCTCGACAGTGATGCTGAGCGAGGAGTGTTCTACCATCCTGCAGAACAAGCTGCCCGAGAAGCGCAAAGACCCAGGGATTTTTACTATCCCTCTTTATATTGGCAATATGCATGTAGGAAAGTCCTTGGCGGATTTAGGTGCTAGCATTAATGTCATGCCTTATAAATTGTTTAAGAATCTAGGCCTAGGTGAACCTAGAACTACCAGGATGAGCATTCAGTTAGCTGATCGCTCTATTGTGCATCCTAGGGGTATCATAGAGGATCTGCTTGTTAATGTAGGCGCATTCACATATCCTGTTGATTTTGTTATTCTGGATATAAATGAAGATGTGGGTGTGCCTTTGATTTTGGGTAGACCATTTCTCGCCACCACCGAGGCGCTTATTGATGTGCATAGTGGTAAATTGATCTTGCGTGCTGTGGATGAACAAGCTACTTTTTCTTTGTCTGAGAATGGGAAGCACTCCCATTTGCATGATGAATTAGATTACTGTGATATGCTTGCTGATTTTGAGACCGCACTCGCCATAATGAGTGCGGGTACTAACGATGCTCTTGAGCGTTGTATTTTGCTAGGTGAGCAGGCATCGCGGAAGCCGCGGGTGGAGGATCAGTTGGCCGCGCTGGAGAGTGGCGCATTACTAGAGGGCGATAGGCTGTTCATACACCTCGGATCACTACCTCCTTGGAGGAGCCACCAGAGCGGGAGCTAAAGCCCCTCCCTCCTCACTTGGAGTATGCATTTCTCCGGGAGGGGAACAAGCTTCCAGTCATCATTAGCTCGAACCTCACACCCGATCAGAAGGTCAGACTGGTGGCCTTGCAGTACGAGCGAGCTCTGGCGTGGAAGATCACTGATATCCGGGGGATCAGCCCCTCATTCTGGTCCCACCGGATATCGCTAGAGGATGAGATGTGGCCGGTAAGACAGCCCCAGCGGAGATTGACCCCGAACCTGGAGGCTGTGGTTCGGGCGGAGATCGTGAAGCTGATGGACGCGGGGATCAGCTTCGCCATCTCCGACAGTGAGTGGGTTAGTCCCACCCAGGTGGTTCCTAAGAAGGGCAGGATGATCGTGGTACCCAATGAGAAGAATGAGCTCATACCTATGCGCCTAGTGACCGGATACGACATCTGCATCGACTACCGTCACCTCAACGACGCCACCCGGAAGGATCATTTCCCGTTGCCGTTCATTGACCAGATGCTGGAGAGACTGGCGGGGCACAAGTTCTACTATTTCCTGGATGGGATGTTCGGGTATTTCCAGATCCCCATTGCATCGGAGTACTAGGCGAAGACCACTTTCACCTGTCCCTTCGACACATTCTCCTACCGGAGGATCCCATTCGGGCTATGCAATGCCCCCGCCACTTTTCAGCGATGCATGCTCGCCATCTTTGACCGCCTGGTCAACGAGATTATGGAGGTTTTTATGGACGAATTTTTGGTTTATGGGGACTCATTCTCTCATTGTCTCCATAACCTAGAACTCGTCCTTAAACGGTGTGAAGAGACGAACCTGGCACTGAGTTGGGAGAAGTGCCACTTCATGGCTCGCGTAGGCATAGTTCTGGGGCATAAGATCTCCAAGATGGGGATTGAGGTGGACAGAGCCAAGATCGAGACTATCACCAAGCTGCCTCCTCCCACATCTGTTAAGGGGATCCGGAGTTTCTTGGGCCATGAAGGGTTCTACAGGCGGTTCATTAAGGATTTCTCGAAGATCTCCCTACCCCTGACAAAGCTCCTTGAGAAGGATGCCCCCTTCCAGTTTAATGACGCATGCACAACAACATTCACGACCTTGAAGGAGAAGCTCACTCATGCTCCTATCATGGTCGCTCCTGACTGGTCCCTACCATTCGAGGTGATGTGCGATGCCAGTGACTTTGTTATTGGATCTGTCTTGGGGCATCAACACTTCCGTCCTATCTACTACACCTCGAAGACCCTCCACGATGCCCAGGTGAACTACACCACCATGGAGAAGGATCTGTTTGCGGTGGTGTTCGCCTTCGACAAGTTTCGTCCTTATATGGTCTTGTCCCATGTGACCGTGTACATAGATCACTCCGCGATACGATACCTGATGAGCAAGGAAGATGCCAAGCCTAGGCTCATACGATGGATCCTATTACTGTAGGAGTTCGACATCGAGATTTGGGACAAGAAGGAGCTAAAAATGTTGCTGCTGATCACCTCTCCCGGTTGGACGCGCCACCTGCGGACAACCTCGTGGAGGATATCAACGACTCCTTCCCAGATGAGCGACTAATGATTATGTACCTGGCGGAGAGTGTCACCCCTTGGTACTCCGATTTTGCAAATGATCTGGTGGGCCAGCAACTACCTAAGGGATGATGACCCACACCAAGAGGAAGTTCTTCTCCGACCTGAAGCACTACTTCTGGGATGACCCTCATCTCTTCATGATTGGAGCCGACGGGATCATCCGTCGTTGTGTCATGCAAAATGAGATGGAGGGCATTCTATCTCATTGCCATGAGGGACCTACTAGCGGTCACCATGGAGGTAACCGCACGGCGAGAAAGGTGCTACAGTCGGGCTTTTACTGCCCACGCTCTTCAAAGATGCATACGTCTTCGCACGCAGGTGCGATCGATGTCAGAGGTCATGTAATATCTCTGCCCGTGATGAGATGCCCCAGAATGTGTTTATAACCTGTGAGATTTTTTATGTCTGAAGTATCGACTTCATGGGCCCTTTCCGTCCATCTTTTGGCAATACTTACGTCTTGGTTGCTGTAGATTACGTCTCTTTGTGGATTTTTAAAGCAGCTATTCTCCTAGTTCGGGACACCTAGAGCCATCATAAGTGACCGAGGAACCCATTTCCAGGAACCCATTACTATCTCGCTATGGTGTCACTCAGAAGGTGTCCGTGGCCTATCACCCTCAGACGAGTGGTTAGGCCGAGCTAACAAATCGGAAGCTCAAGCGTATACTGGAGAAAACGGTGGATTAGTCTCGCAAGGATTGGTCCACCAAGCTCGATGATGCTCTCTGGGCGTATCAGACTACCTACAAGACGCCAATTGGTACTTCATCGTACCGGCTTGTCTATGGAAAGGCATGTCACTTGCCCGTGGAGCTAGAGCACAAGGCCTTCTGGGCCCTTAAGCTGCTCAACTTGGATGTTAGTGTTGCAGGTGTTGAACGAAAATTGCAGATGCTGGAGCTGGAGGAATGGCGTTACCACGCCTACGAAAACACCAAGCTATATAAAGAGCGTACTAAGCGCCTCCGTGACGCTCAGTTAAGGGGTCCGAAGGAGTTTCAGGTTGGTGATCGAGTTCTCCTCTATAACTCTCGCCTGAAACTCTTTCCAGGAAAACTCTACTCCCGGTGGTCTGGACCGTTCACGGTCACACAAGTGTTCCCGTATGGCACGATTGAAATTGCCAACCCGCAAACTGAGTCGTTTAAATTGAATGGCCATCGTCTCAAGCTCTATCTTGGAGACGAGGTCGAACATGCGGAGTTGGTGGTTGACCTCGCGAACCCTTAGTTCCGCCATG